TGCTATGGTGTAATGGTCACATGAACCATTGGACTTGCAATATAGATGTCAGTTTCAGTTTCATGTATTAGGTATAACCCTGTGAGCTATACAGCTCATGACTCGGGTGCAACCGCAACAAAACAAAAACATGAACAAGAAACATCTTCAAGTGACTGCACGCAACAGAAAAATCCTGGAAAAAACAGCAAAGTCTTCCAGAAAAAACACCGTATTTCAACGCTGTGTGCAAAAAATCCCAGTGGGATGCAAGTCAAACAATAACAACCATGTCACTGGTTCATTCTCTTGGCACAGCATTGGGCATATTTCTATATCCTCCAGCCCCTGTTTACCCAGTGCTGTAAACAGTTAATCAATCGGCAGGGGTTCCATGTGGTGGTGTAGTGTGGCTACTCCCACCCCCTCTCAAGTCATCTGGTCAGGGTGGAAGAGTAGGCCGAATGCTCTCTGTAGCGTCTCTCGTGCCCACAAATCAGTGTTCTTCACTCATTTTCAGAGGGAGGGGCCGTTATCACCGATAAGATATCTTCAGTGGGAGGGCCGCCACACTGCCTGAAAAGGGGTGTTTTCACCATTTGCGTATTGTGTCGGGGGCCGCACGTAAGGGGACGCACTAAAGGCCACCAGGGGGCTCCAAGTGGCTCGAGGGCTTTGCAATGAAGAACACTGCCACGACGAGGAGGGATCGCTCGCCGACATTGGCATCAGTAAGCGAGTGCAGGGCTGCACCTTTACCTCCACTTAATTTCACTAGGCGTGAACTCATAGGGATGACAAGTCTCTTCTGCAAGAGTGATCTGGGTCAACGAGTAATGGGCAGGGTTACGCATCTCAAGGACTATACACACAGCGAGAGAACACGACAGCTTTAAACTGCCTGTTCACACGTGCAATACAGATGACAAGGAGTTAAAGGCATATTGGTAAAAAATGTATTGTACTCACAACTTAAGATAAAAATACACTCAAAATTGGTGAGCAAGGTGGGTGGGGCCAGCTTCTACCAGCTACCAGCGCTGTCACGGTGACCGACTGCACATTTCCAATTCAATATGAATGCCAGCCAACTCACAAAATAATGCTGTCAGTTTGCCGAAGACAGTAAAGGTTTTAAATTGATAGTTTAGAGTATTTGGCCGCTATAAATGTCCACGTGATGAGCCACTTTCGTTGAGCTATCATTTGTGATAGGCGGGTCACTTATGAAAAAGAGCCATATAGCTCAGTGGGCCTTACCTCGTAAAATTTTAAAAGTTTCTAGTTTTATAGAAGTAAACAAAATTGGAGCACAACACACACATATGGCTCATTACTGTGCATTCAAGATTAAGTCACTGTGGGTGAGAGTAAGCATGACAGATGTTGGGGGGGGGTAATTTAGACAACAGCGATGGTCGCGAAATATCTTCGGTCTGCACGATCCTACATTTACTGCGAGACGAGGGAAACAACACAAAAGCTAACCGCCGTTCCGAGTGTCACCTTGGAGATCTCCCTGCCGGTAGTACGCATACCTGGACATACTTGCTGACGACCTTCATGACTTCAAGGTTGAAGTGCTTGAGGGGAGCGGCAGTGAGCTCCACTTGGCTGAGGAGGCTGTGCATTGTGAGCAGGATGGAGCGCTGCATGCTGGCCAGACCCTTTTCCAGCAGCTGCCGGCACAAAGACAAAGATCCCCCCCCCCGTGTAGCCTTAACAGACTGTTCGGACAAGTGCTGCTAGGGAGCATCTCTGAAGACCGGCTGTGGGCACACGAGGAGGGTTGGGTGGCCAACACCATGCCCGGCTGCCTTTGTCTCCTGAGTGGCAATGTTTACACACCTCACCAAGTACTCATTTGAGGTCGAGTCGACCGAGGGGAGGCCCAGAACCGATTCAGATAATCGTCACTGGTGTTGGCTGTGAGTGGGAATGGAACCCGGATTACCGTGTTCATAGTGCAGCTTGCTAATCGCGACACTACCTGCTACACTACCCGCTCCCCAATGCCGGTACACACACACACACGTATTACGATCCGTTTAGCCTCATGCATTCTAGGGGTAAGGGATGCCGCTGTGGTGTAATGCAACATAATAGTTAGCACAACGGACTTGTCATAGTAGGTCACCGGTTCGATTTCCCGGCACAGCGTATTAAACGATGGTGCAAGTTTATTAAGTCCCCCCCATGCGCCTCTGTGCACCCAGAAGTACGAATGGGCGATGCGAGGTATGGGCATCGCGTATGAATGATGTTGAACTTGTTTCGCACCGTACGAATCCAACTGTGCTAAAATCGGAGGGGCGGATATATAAGGAGACAAGCGCAGACGCGTGCACGCACACATTGGGGACATCAATTCCTCCTTTTGGCAGCTTGCCTGTTGCGGCGCTAAGCGTGGCTACTCTCTCACCTATTTCCAAAGCATCACGCCCAGCGTGGAAGAGAGAAGGCCAAAATAACCACCCCAGTGGGGACCCTTCCACCAGCAGTGGCACGAGCAAGAAATTGCAGGTGCTGAGCACCTTCGCTTTTTGCCGTTACAGGAGGCACGGGTTTGTGAGCGAGCACCCAAGGGTAGGCACGACAGATGGTAGGGTTGCTGAAGGCCCATATTACGACAAGCCACCTTTGTCTCTCTCCGGGGCCGAAGCTTTACGTTTTGCGCTGATGAGTTATTAATGGCCCAGTTGACCTTGAGGTCCTGCACAGGTTTAGACACCACTTCCCATTGATGTTATCGTTGGCTGGAAAACGGTGCCTGGTTTGCCAGGTTAGTAATGCGCACAAACCTTTGTGCCACCCTCCCACCAAAACACACGTACACACGCCGGCCGCACACTTGCACACGCACACACACACACATCATTTCATTCGTCTTGTGCAATTAATTTCACCAATTAAACATCCATCCATTGAGTAAACCTGCAGCGCTCAATTATGCATTCCTGTGTTGTCTTTTTTTAACCACTAGGCAGAGTTTTGCCTAAATCACGGGGCCTTTTCTCAATATCCTTTAAGGGTCTTTTATGTATCAACTATGATGCAGTTGTTAGCTGTGCTTATAAACGTTCATTGCTCATTCTATCTGAAAAATAAACCCTTGAGCAGATCTTGGAAGAATATAAGCATACCATTAAATGTTTATAGAAGGTATTTATGCATTCATTGGTGATTAGACTTAACATTAAAGCTACACTCAAGAACATGACTTAGGCATGGGTGACTGCCTGATATTAATCCAGGATGTCAGCAGGGCTGCATTAGTCTTCTGCAAAGGACCCATGCTTAAATCATTTTTCCATAATAAACTTAACTTTGAGGCACATTAATTGCAGTCTCATATTCTTTAGGTCTTTCGTAGTCTCATGTATTACAGTTTCTTAAGTCTCACGAAACAAACATCTCACAAAGTGTAAGCAAATACGCATATATAATAAGGCGTGAAGCATATGCGCATATATAATATTGTCTGAGGGAGCTGCCACGGCATAACGGTTTAAACACTGGACTTGCAATCCCGAGCTTGACGGTTTCCATTACATCGTCCGGCGCACCAGTTAAAACTATGGAGTACGTTCCTCACATCACCTCCGCCTCTTTCTACTCTGCAGTATCACACGGGCACAGCAGAGTCGGGTGCTCCGCAGCTCCGCGTGTGGTGAGGAGGAGTGTGCTTACACACCCCTCTTCCAACACATTTGGTCAATGTGGAAGAGTAGTCCAAACAACCTCAAGTTCAGTTCAACACGTAGGGCTTACGTGACCAATATCATCCATAATGCAGGTTTTTTTGGGTTAGATCGCGTAAATATAAATGTCGTTAAATCTCGCTGCCGTCTGATGATGCTAGTTGTAAATTACTGGCGAAACGTCGTACTCAGATTGTAAATGTTGTGAATTTTCTCTCCAACACACCGGTTGTACTGTATTAGTAACGAATTGGTATGTTCTGTTTACGTGACAACCTTACTGATTGGCTGTGTTGGGTGGTGGCGGGTTTAAAGACACATTTATGTTTACACGATAGAACCCAAAAAAAACTCTGTTATGGACCCTCAAGTTCACTCGAGCAGAGACCTTTTCCCCAGCAGTGGCGTGAGCAAACCAATCTCAGGACCACACCTCGACAATTCTGTCTTAACCCTTTCCCCTTTCCAAGACGTCTCCAAGTTGCAGGGATGGTCCTGTTCACCGCTGAATCTCGCAACGGCCAAGCGGTTCAGCGTTAATTATATTTAGAGAGGCGTAGCGCCATTACTCTTAAAAACACTGTACTCACCGCAGAGAACTGTAGCGACACGACCGCACTCTACATGATAGCTGGCGCCAAACTGTGCCACGCCCTCCCGCATGGCCTTGTTAGGTGCCTCGTTACCGATAAGGTTATTTTGTTGGAATTTTCTTCCGATTCTATTCCGATCACATACACGTACGTACAAATACGTCATCGGAACTTGTATGTCACCGGAACAGAATCCGAAGACTGATAACGTACAAGTACGTCGTCGGAACGGGAAAGGGTTAATAAGGTCTTAAGCATATATATGGTGAGCATCCGTACGACAGTATTTCTGTGCTGGTATAGAGGAATGCTTCGTCACCTCTGCCAAGTAGCCCACGAGGTTGAGTGTGTAGTCGCCATAGGTGTCGTGGATGTAGCAGCACACCACACTGATCCACACCGTGCAGTCGCGCGTGTACGTGCGGTTGCTGTACATTGACATCACGTGGGCTAGGTTGGGCAGTTTCGTGGTCTTCTCTTCCAGGCACACCTGCACCCACAAACGGCCAAAGTCATTTTGTTACCAGAGCTGGAATTTTGACATCGCCAGTGGAAGAGCAAAATGTAACATAATGGGTTTTGTACAGTCATTGGTAACTGGACTGAGACCACTAAATCGCTCCACTCGAGAACAAACTTTAATCACTGGCGGCTGTCGGGATTAAAATCCAGGATATCTCAACGGTTCCGGCTCATTACTTAACCCCTTGAGAGCCACCTGGCCCGCTCGGCACAGTCGTGACAGGCAGGCTTTACCTTCGCTATTTTGTCAGCGCACTCTTTGCAGAACGGTGTGGGGTTGTCAAAGTGCAGCACCAGATGTGGCAGGAGGCACAGGACGTTAAGTGGGAAACCTGCGATGCGCACACACAAATCGCGCGCGCACACACAATCGCACGCAAATCGCAAATGAGTGGAGAAAACGGCCGCAAACCCACTCGGTGACAACGGCACACGGGGTGTCTTCTATGTTGATTTGACAAGTGAGCAATGCAGGGCATACTTATGATACTTCCTCGCAGGAGTTACTGGGCAATTGCGGTTAATAAATAGTCCAAACTGTGATAACATATGGACTACTAGCTGAAGGCAATGCACACCAGACATAATCACTACAAGTTGCGGATAGCCACTTGGGTTTGGCTGAGGGTGTTCCTCATTATTTAATAAACACTGGGGCTAATTATGCGTTGAGGCTTGGGGCTGCTGCTGCATGCACTGCACGGCAGTCACGTTGTTCAAGGAGGGACAGTGATGAGAAGATCTCAGCATGGGGCAACAATGCCAAGTCAATGAGAGGCACACTGGCAAAACCGCCAATGCCTCTACCCACAGCATCGTGTCGCTATTGAACCATAAAAGTGCATCATCAAAATGTTTAACTTTGTAAAACACCTTCATCGCCAATCGCACAGCTTGGGTTATCTATCATAACAAGACAGGCCTTTTAATTCACTAGTTTCTTTTTTCTTATATTTTCCCTCCACGTAATGGCTACCTATCTCATTGCCTTCCTAATATTACTACAGGTGACAAGATCCAAACACCGCAGTGATGGTGGAGATCTGTAAACCAAAAAGCATCGGAGCTTGTTCACACCTGATGATAGAATTTTTTTTCAAGTCAAACGGAAACGTATCATGAATGTCCCTATGTACAAAATAAATCAACGTGAAAGCGCTTGCGTTCCGTACATGTTGTCGAATAAAAAACACAGCACAGTGCCGGAACTGCTGTGCCACACCTCCCCCCATCGTTGTACTGTAATTTTGCATAGTGTGGTAGCTCTGTGATTATAGAGTTTAACTCACAAAGAATAAGCTCAAATCCACATTGAGGGGTCAACTCAGCCCATCATGCCTTTGCAATTAATAACGAGGTGTATTTCCCTTGCACCTCCGTCAATGTATTGCTCTGGTAACTATCTTCCGGAAGATGATTCTCAACAACTCGATCAGGGGTCAGCCACCAAAGTAACAAGACCACTTTTTAGAATTGGGTGAAAAACCCCCTAAATATTTCAAGAGCCGCAAATTCACAGTGGTGGTGAATACAAGACGGTGGTCACGAAGCAGCCCTCAAAGAGCCGCATGCGGCTCCGGAGTCATAGGTCGCCTATCCCTGAACTAGATTAAACCACAGCTTCAGAAGACCATGAAGTCTCCGGATTATAAGATGCACCCCCCACCAACCTTTACCTTAAAATAAGGTGTGTTTTATAGTGTCAAGAATACGGTATATTCTTGTTACAGTATGTGTAAATGTAAGGTCAAAGTATATTGTTTTACAAGGTGACCATGGACAAAGGTGAAGCACAGATCGCAGCCCTCACCTGTTGCCTGGGAGGCGTCGATAACGGCGACACGGGAGACGGGAGTGAGGCGGCTGAGCAGGCGCGTCGTGAGCTCCACAGTGGCCTGGGACGTCAGCCCCTTGAGCAGCAACAGCTGCAGGCCTGGGAATCCGGCCCACCGCAGCTGGGCCAGGGCCTTCTCCAGGCGCTCCCACACCTTGCTACTGGCTCCATCATCCAGAGGTAGCGCGTGGCCTGCGTCAGTGGTAGGAGCCCGATGAGGGGTGTAGGGACGGAAAAGTGATAATTTTTTTTTACGAACTTGATCTTATTTTTTTTTGCATACGGCATTTGAAAACTGACCGACAAGGCCGCAAAACACAATCAAATCCCGATGACGTACACGTACGGCATTGGAATGGAAAAGGGTTAAAAAAAAAACAGGACGACCAATGTCCAGGAAGTATTAACAGATATCCCAGGACAGTGACTTCAAATAGGAGATGTTCCTGGGAAGACCAGGGCAAGTAGCAACCATGTGTAGAATTCCATTCTTGTATTCCCAATGGAGTTCTTAAAACTAAAAAACTAAACTATGTTTTATTTTACCAGGTAAGGCTCACTGAGCTATATAGGTATTTTTAAGAAGCGACCCGGCCACAAATGATAGCTCAATGAAGTGCTTCTCATGTGAAAATTTATAGGCCGGGAATCATATGCAGCTCTCTCGGTTCAAGTTACAATTTGCCAATCACTGCTCGAAAGCCCATCCTCGATCGTGACTTAATCGTTGTCAAAATAACTGCCACGCTGCTATGGTGATGACAGTCATGGCCCCTGATGCCCAAATTAGGTAATTATTTTATCGACCTTGGAATTGGGATGAAGGATTGGGTCAACCTTCCTATAAACTTAAATTCGGTCGTCCATTAATTGAACAAAATATATTGGTTTGACTACCATGGGTCGAACATTATCCACATATTTACCACGTGGGACAATTCTGCACACTGATATGTCGATGAGAAGTTACTTCAAGGGCTCTCAAAGGTAGCTTCTGTATTAGCTGCTTCTGTGGGCTGTTCCGTAACATTAATGTCATTATTACAAAGCTTGTTCACCCAGGGACACGAAGGGTTACAACTACTCTGGCGAAAAATTGGCTGGATTCTTCGTCTCATGCTCACCCAGCAGCCTTTCGAGAAGGCGGAGTCCCATGAGATACTCGCTCTCGTAGTCCGACTCGAGCAGGGCACTTGCCCCCCAGAACATGACCGTGAGCAGAGCCAAGGGGTCTGATGGCGGCGTGCCTATCCCCGATCCCGCTCCCGACCCCGCCACGCCCCCCGCCGCCCCTCCGCCATCATCGGCAAGCGAGGTGAGGCTGCGGGCCTTGGCGAGGGGGCTGCTGCGACGGACGCGCTCGTACGGGCGGTCCAGCGTGATGCTGCGCCACTCGGAGCCCCCATCCGCCAGCAGCGCGTGCTTCTGCGAGGCCGAGTTGCTGCGCTTGCGCCTGCCCATGCCGCTGATGATGTTGCTGATGATGATGTTGGGGCTGGCGCTGTGGCAGCTCGACAGGCTACCAGTGCGGATGGGGCTCGAGCTGAGATGCAGCTGCCCCGTGCTGCAGCGGCTCGGTTCCATCTTGGTGGAGAGCGCCGGGTCCAGGGAACTGAGCAACAGAAAGGCGATAAATGAATGTAATACATCTCTGACGTGCGCTCAGGTCGTACCGTTCCTGCACGAGTTCTTAAAGAAGCTCGCAGCGTGTGGAGACGTCGGATATCATGCAAACAACACGTGGTACAACCCAAACACGCATAGTAGAGAACTTTATAGTACAACCATGAAAATTTACACAGTAGGAAATGTAATATACTACATTTTCACAGGGAAGTCTCGCCAAGTCTCAGTTTATTTTGTGAGCAGGTTTCCGCATTTAAGAAGTTTGCGAAATTATTCTTCAAGGACATTTTTTTTTTTAAATATCACATTGCTCTGATAAAACATAAGCGTAAGAAGAGACAGCACTCCAAGGGCCAGATTCTCTCATTGATGAAAGTTCCCCTTTGCCATAATTTTTTATAAACATTTGCCGATGTCCCGATTATGAATAGAAAAAAATAATAAATCAACATTACGCATGTATTGCCTTTCCTAAAATAAAAAAAACTTGGGCTGACCATGCCGATGGGTTTCTGACCATTGGATGTCTTGCCATCGCTGGCCACCTCGTGTCCTAGTGGGTTATGGGAGTTTCACCGCACCTTATGAAATCTGAGACCTCTCGCAACCCTTCCTCCAAACGCACTGCATTACAAGCATGTTCAATAATTAATTACCAACACTGGATTACTTCTCCTTTTTCTTAACAGTCTATCACACATCAAACTGCATACCCCACTTTACAGGATGCAGGCGTCCTACTGGGAAAGAATGAAAACTCCAATATAAATGCAAATTTGCATTGATTGGCTCAGGGCCAGGAACAGAGCTGAGTGTCACATGGAGGTGTTTTCATGCCCATTTGTGCATGGAGACATTTGGACCAGACCTGCCATCCCATTAGTAACATTTCCAATGTTATGGCAAAGCTTGAGGCATGTTCTAATTTTCTATTCCAGAAACTACATCCCGAAGCAGAACCATACACCACGGTTGGGGGGGAAACCCAGACGTTACATCACCATCTTTGGCCGAATGTCTTTTATGATGTGTCATTTTTGCTGAGCGCTACTTAACGCCACTCACCCAGAGAATGCAATGAGAAAGTTGTTAAGTTTGGAGCACTCCGCTATTGTATCCACGGCGGTTTCGAGAGTCAAAAGCACCTCCAAGACATTTCCCTGTCACATAAAACAGACACCATTACTCACAGTGATACATTATTGATGATCTGTGACAGTTACTTTATAATTATTTGTGTTATTGCATGTCAGCAATAAAGCAAATAAATATAAATTAACGTAACATACACATTGTTAAGCCAGAAAAACCATTTTGTTAGTAAACAAACATTTACTTCATTTTCTCTTTTAAGAGTTTCATTTATAAACAAGACATGGAGTGAAAATCATCTCCATTGGCAGCCTGGAGCCAGTGGTGAAACTCCATATTTTTGTGGCCATTCAATATATGGGATGACTTCCCACAAAAGTGGTACTCATTTTATTGACATGAGAGAGATGATGGGCCGTGTTGGGTTTGATCTCACAGCCTTCTGATTGTGAGCTAAGATCTTTGGCACAGATACAGAGGGACGATCCATTTATCGATGCTCTCGTAAAATAACGCACTGAAAATATTTATGTTCAAAGCCTCTACACGTGTTTCACCAATGTCACTACAACCATCAAATATTCATAAGATATGGGAGCCATCGAAAGTAACGTTTATATAAATTGCTCAATCAGTATTTTAATAAACTTTACATTCGTGCAATAACATATACCAGCTACGCCTAAATGGATGTGAAGTCAAAATAGTGTTTGTACAATGCCTGGTGCACAGCAAGGCCCCAGTGAGTGACAAAGCCCCACTAACAGGATTCCTTGGGTGGACCTATATATACAGACTAGAGGGAAGTACCCGGCGTTGCCCGGGCGAAAAAGACACACACACATCAACTTACACATACACAGACATCGACCCACACACTCAAAAACATCAACCCACACACAAAGACAAAAAAAAGATTCCCCGTATAGCATTGACAGACTGTAGGGGCAAGTGCTGTTAGCAAGCTGTCAATCTATTTAAGATAAAGGAAGACTTCTTCACAATTCTGGCAAATAATCTGATGAAGCTGGTGGTAATCACCAGCATAAAGTGACTCAAACTGTAAATGTTGTGGGTTTACTCTCCAACACACCAGTAAGCTGAAGTAGTCAGTGATGGGCACCTTAGTAATTGGCTGTGTCGGGTGGTGGTGAGTTAATGACACATTTATATTTCCGCGATCGAACACAAAAAGAAAAAACTTTATTAAGAAAAATATTGTTCCCCAACCTAGTGCTAATATACTTGTCAAAGACTGCCAAAATCTAACAATTGTGTGTAAATGTGTGCTTACCCAGAATGATAAAGTAGTCACACCTAACCCCGACAAGCTGACGCACGTGACGATGAACAATTACAATATTGATGACAGGACAAACAAAAATAAAATCGAGGAGAGCAACGGAAGAACGCGTGGTGGTGCAGGGCGGTCGAGGGAGGGGCGTCGCACCTGAGTCTCCTCCGCCGCGTCGCCCACCCTCTCGACGAGGCGCGACAGCAGCAGCGAGAGGCTGTGCATGCCCAGCGGCTGACGTAGGGCGCGCAGCATCTGAAAGGAGCGCCCGGCGTAGTGGCGCGACGGGCACGCGAGCGCCAGGCGCAGCGCCATCTCGCCGAGTCGCTGCTCCAGGTTGGAGCCTGCGGGATCGCGGAAGCGACATCACGGAACGAAGGCCGGGTGAGTTTTGGGGTGGGGCAGGGGTAAAAAGCATCAAAAAGGTATGAAATTTATAGGGCGATTGCTTAAAAGGCCCAGCAACTCAAAGCACCTCGCATCTCAATCATTCCACTGCCCTGCTGCAGTCTAGCCGAGGGGGTTCTGAGTAGGTGGGTGGGTACCCACCTACTCAGAACCCACCCACCAAACACCTCCCTGTGTGGCACAAGGTGTGCACAGCACCGGCCTGCAAATGGTCCTTCGTCAAGCGCGTGTCGTCTCTATACACCTCGCTTCAAGCTTCTACTGCTGCTACTTCAAGGAGAATGATAAATATATGTGCTTTTAATATCATAGTCCAAGTCAAAGTTTCTGGATGTTGAAATTAACATGTGACCAAATAATATGAATTCCTGCAGTCACCAAAGTTTTAAGGACATTCACTGTTTAATCTGTGTATCATCATCTCGCATAATTACTTACATACTAACCGTGCACTCGCGTTATAGCCTGCTTGCACTGAGGTTATCCTGCTGTTGGAGTACTATGGTTGCAACTTGCAAGAAGAAAGTGTTGTGTTAACATCCTGGCTGGGGCATGATTAAGCTTCTTACTTTCATAGAAGGTTCACAGTGGTTGTACCACAGAGTTGGCCCCTCTGCCTTTAGTTTAAATACATGTTAATTTTGGTTCATATGTTGTTTTTTTCTGACTTTATGTGAACGAAAAGACACAAATTCGCCTGTTTTCTCATTGAAAATAGGTACATTTCAAAATATCACTGTCCTGGTCACAAAAGCAAAGTTGTGGGGAATAATCGCCAAAATCTGTACTTTTGAGGCATAAGCAATTAGGAAATAACACTTACTACCCAGGAACAAACAAAAAATGTTGTTACAGTGTTATATTTCCTTGTTCATTTATATTACTGTGGATATTTTAAATACCTGCATCACATTCCTTTGGTCTATGACGCTTTCAAGCCTTGATATATTTTCTCCTTGAAGGATTATTCTGATGAATACGTATACATTTACAAGTGATTCAAATGCGAATTCTTCCATGTGCACTGTGTAGATTATTTATAAAGCAAAGTAATTCAACCCAAAGAACAATGCCAATAGAGTACAACTTGTGACCTAATTATTTCAAAATAGAACTCACGGTTTTCCACATTTCCTGCCGTTTCATTACGAAACAACAAGAACACTATGAAATAAATACAAAGTTACAAGCTGTACGCCCCCGTGATACATTCACAACATGGCAAAGTGCATTCCATGTGGTGCCCGATGTAGGCGGTAATGATAAAGAGATCAATGCCTTGTAGGAAACAGCTCAACACAGCCCTTCTGATTGAAACAAAGACAAAGCTTTCCCCTATTATAGCCTCAACAGACTTTAGGAGCAAGTACTGTTCGCGAACATCTATGAAGGCCGATACGGCACACAAGGGGGTGGGTGGCCAGCACCATGCCTGGCCACCTCTGTCTCCCTCGATGGCGATGTTTACTTATCACGCAAGGTCCTCAATTGAGGCCCAGTCAACCTAGGGGGAGGACCAGGACCGGTTCAGAAAATCGGTACTGGTGTTGGCCGTGAGCGGGAATCGAACCCAGGTAACTGGGTTTGTGGCGCAGCGCGCTAACCGCTAGAATATCCCTCCCCACTGCATTAAACTACCACAACAAACGCGGATAAGGAACTCATGCACGCACATGTAGACATATACACTTAATGCCAAAATATAGTTATGCTCAAGAATGTTCGGGTGGGGGGGGAAATGCTGTTAGCGATCACCTATTAAGGCCGGCATGATCCATGAGGAGATTATATGGTGTGCCGATGTCTACACAGCACAACCGGCATTCATTTATGGGTGAATTGATATAAGGTATGCCCAGAACAGGTTCTTATATCACTCGCCACTGATGTTAGAAAAGGTGGCTGGGAATCGAACGCCACCAATCTTCACATATTGCACATACACTAATTCCACACGCGCACACATGGGCAGACACAAAAACAGCATGTGTATGCCCACACGCTTACTAGCGTGCCAACAGGCTTACACAACGCAGGGCTTAGTGAAACATGCCTAGGGGCAAGGGCATGCTTCCTGCTTCTCGAGCAAATTCTGGTCATAATCTTTCTTGAATGGCAAACATGGGTGTCTAACAAATAACAATTTTCAACACTCTATTGTAGTATTTTTCTTTCAGTTCCGAGTCTGTGCCAGATGGACTTTTAGTTTTATTAGGCTCTGTTTATACACATTCAAATGCGCACACACACACTGAAAAAAGACAAAGATCCCCCATTTAGCCATGACAAATTGTTGGGGCAAGGGCTGTTAGTGAGCACCAATGAGCCGGCACAGCAGATGAGAGGGTGGGTTGCCAGCACCACATCTGACTGCCTTTGTCTCCTGATTGGCAATGTTTACACAGCACACCAGGTACTCATTTGAGGCGGAGTCGACCTAGGGGATGCCCAGGGCCAGTTTAGATAATCGTCACTGGTGTCGGCCGTGAGCGGGAATGGAACCCAGGTCACCTGGTTTGTAGAGTAGCGCACTTACTGCTGCACTACCGCTCACCATAACACACGTTTTGATATGCACAGAGACACACACACACCTGGCCTGCTGTCCTTGAAGATTGAAACAACATGCAAGAGGAACTTGCTAAGCTGCTCTGCACTCTGAATGTTTTGATTCTTGGTGGAGATGTCTTCGTAATTCCACAGGGGCCCATACTTTCTGCAGAGACACAGGCAGGGAAAAGAAATCAAGATAATTATGGCTACTTCTGTGGATATATACTCTGTTATTAAACTAAAAATATATTCGATAATAAACAGGGTGTCCATAAAGGTACAGTCATCCATTGTTCAGAAATTATAATTACACAGCGGTTTGAGTTAGGTTGATAAACTCCACACACACTTGGTACTCATCATCATAATCAGGCATGGTCAATTCACTGCTGGAGTAAGATTTTCCCAAGCCTCCTCCATCTCTCACGTCACTTGGTAGTACGATGATTAATTCTATCATGAGTTTGATCATGCTAACCCCTCGCAGGTCTGCAATGGAACTGACGACGCACATCCGAAGAATATCTCAGAGAACCCTGCTCGTTCAGCAACATCTTGATGCGTGCGTTTCGAACTGCTTTTGTTTCCCGCTGCCGACGATGATTGATCGGTGAAACTGTTTGGTTTTTTTAGGCACACATTTAATCTTGCACATAACCCTCGCAGTCAACCAGAGTAAAAAAAGCTTAATAATTATACTTCGTTAATAATGGATCATGCCTGTACGTGCAATATGTTTAACAAGCGTCTTAGCGCAACAGAAGCAGATGGCAGCCTAAGCCTTGAGCTTTCTCCGCCCAACATGCTTCAGCTGTGGCTTCCACACATCAATAGCAGCACAGCCTTCACCAGGGAATGATTTGAACCTGTTCACTTATAAACTAAACTATTTTTCATTTTACCACATAAGGCCCACTGAGCTATATAGCTTATTTTCAGAAGAGACCTGGCCACAAATGATAGGCCAATGAAGAGGCTTATCATGTGGAAATGTAAAACAGCCAAATTGTCTAAACACGTGTTTCAAAATGTGGAGGGACAAACCATAGGACCCGGAGAAAAATCCACATAACCACGTGGAGAGAGACGTGCAAACTCCAAATATACAGGTGTCAGGGTCGGGATCGAACCCACAACCTACCTGTATACCAGGCGATGAATTTAACATCTCGCCATCGTGGCACCCCGCGGTGTTAAACCGACATCACTAGGCAGTACCAGTGTGCAGTGCAGGAACCTAATAATCATACTCTGATGGAAGGCTGCATAGTTGTTGTGTCCAGCAACCAGATTTGGAGGAGGGCCGCCTATGTCCACTGCTGTTGTGCTTAGATGATTTCTGAAACTGTTCTTTGCAGCCAAGCCAAAATGTTTCCCAACAAGTTGGTAAATTATTGATTTACCAAAATATTCGATGACATTGTCTCAACTTAAATAACTTTATACTCAGGCAAGCTTGGGAAATGGCCACAGGGTCAAAATTATGCTTGACCCTGAAAATTATGTAAATGCATAACAACTTTTTAATGAGCAAAAGCCCAAGAGAATCACTGTTACAATTAGTGAAAACAATTTTACATTCACATATTGTCACACACAATCAGCTGTTCCGCATAATGATTGGAAGTATATGGACAATTAAACTAAATAGTAATGAATATGTGGCCAAATAGCATAATGCCTCAGCAAAGGGTCAGCTCACATAAAGCAGGACAAGGACTTATTATTATAATAGTTATTCTACAATAAATGCCTCACATTATTTCGGAGGATAAAACATCTACATTTTTTATTTACATTTACATTTTTTATTGAAATAACTTCCATTTAGCATTTCTGAAAACTGGATCCTAGTCTTGCATTCGTCTAACTTACATTGTAAATAAAATACAATTTTTTTTTATTTGCTTAATGAACATGTCCAGTTGAACGACTTGCAGATTAAGACAACACACCTGTAGCAACAGGAGACGTTACAAACACTTCACATTGGCACTGATATAACATGGTTGCCTATCAACAACCTACACTCTTATTTCGCGAGGCTTGAGGATTGCGGGGAACACAACATGGACGTTTCCCTCCGTAACACAACCGCTGCGAACATGTTGACCCGACATCTGAAGTTTTTTTAAGAAGCGCTCACACAAAAACACACACACACACACCTTGAAACAGCCAGCACGTGCCTCTTTCCAGAGGCATTAAAACACATGCATCATCCCTTCCCAGTGTTGCGTGTGCTTCTGCTGAGGTGTTACAGGAACATTATGACACTCATGTGCACCCCCCCCCCCCGTTCCTTCTGCTCGTATGAAGTGGAAAGTCCCGCGGAGTAGTGCTCAGCAACGAGCCACTATGCTGTGTTTCACAGTTGCTTTTTTAAGTGCAATTTTTTTTTCTACGTTAAATTATTGAAACTAGCCACTGGAGGGTGCGAGACAAAAATCACCGTTAATTGCCAAATTGTCTAAGCGTCTAGAAATAAGGAGATGGGAAAAAAACTAGCTTGTTGACGGCCGCCAGTGGAAATGAACAGCAGGCCACGCTTGATTGAGTGTGGCGGCACTGACTTCTCTGGGTGACCTTACCCCGGCTAAGGGTGATTCTTATTACTCTTGGAAAATGTGGTAAAAGGAACTGCCATTATAGTTGTCCAAGTTGATTTGTGATGATGTAGAAGGTTTAAATGTACGTACCTAAATGACCCAAATTCTGTATCAAAGCCAGGCAAATATTTCTGGTAATTATATCAATGTCATCTGAAGCTGTATTGCTCCATATAAGTGGCCAAAAACGTCGCTTAATGTTTTCAATACATATATTTTTTGCCACCTATTCTCAAGGGAATATGACTGGGTGTAACTTTGGTTACATCAATTTAATTGCAAGGGGAAGGGTGGAGGGATCAACTCGGTCCAGCATTCTTCCGTGGTCAATTAACAGCTACTTGTGTCCGAGACACCGCAGGAATGTGGAATTTCCTCAACTGGCTAAGGGCTCCCACCAGAGCCTTGTCACGAAAAATCACCGTGGGAGATGATGACGGTGTGGGTTGACAGGGGGATTAGGAGCCACATCATCGAATACCTTGTGCAGGTAAATATAACCACAGTACATTCAAAACATGAATGCACTCCGGGGTCTATGGATCAAGTCAAGTTTGATGTCGGTCAGTCAATAGTTGCTGTAGCCAAGTGGATAAATAGTACATTACAAGGTCTCGCGTAAAATGCAAAGAAAATGAATTTGTTTGCTGGCCCGGTAATAATTCGTTATTTTAAATGGTTAACAACTTTATTTCTGCAAAAAACAAACATGCAAAAAAATGGACATTTAATAAATGCTCGTGAAACTTAATTAGTAAAGTGGTTAGCGGTGCTGCGCTATGAACCCGGCAAGCAGAGTTCAATTCCCGGCCAAAGTTTATATCAATGTTGAGTTATAAGAGAAGTAGTACTGTCCTCCTCCCCACCTTTACCAATAGGCACGAACAGGCTGGGTGAAGTATGGTGTAAAAAACACCCTGGGAAGATCGACGTGAAATGGGGGAGGCCTTCACCCATTGTGAATTGAGAATTCACGTTTTTTTTATCTGTTACGAGAAGTTAATACAACACGCAACCCAAGGATGAAGAGCACGCACTTGGCTCACACACAAATTCGTTACTTCAACACTGTCAGAAAGCTCCTTCAGCTGGTAAAATCATAATCGGAATCTGCATTCATCTTTTTCACAGATATCCAGGATGGGGCAGTTAGGAAAGTCGCAACAACAAAACAAAGAATACAGCAAACGACAGGAGTGCGACATATATGAAAGGTAAGAAAATCACTAAAAATAAATATACTCTTTGGTTCTTTCGGTAAAGTCACGTAGAAAGAAAAGAAAAGAAATAATAGAATACGACGTTTCGATTGCAACACAAGCAACCGTCATCAGGTGTGAATGCATGCTCGGAGAGAGACATTTGCAGAGAGAGAGACAAACACAGACATGGAGAGAGATATAGACACAGAGAGAGAGACACACACACAGAGAGACAAACACACAGAGAGAGAGACAGAGAGAGGAGAGACACACACGCAGAGAGAGACACACACAAAAAAACCTTCCAATTTCTCTCCCCCTGCCACTCTCTAAGTTTACTACTAAGTTTGTTTTCTCAAACTTCCAATTTCTCTCCCCCTGCTGCTCTCATTGACATGCTAATTCCTCTGCCCCAACCCCTCCTTCGCTCTCTATATAATACCTCATCACAGAGGCGTTGTTTCTCTGTGTGTCTCTGTGAGTGTCGCTGTCTGCGTGTGTGTCTCTCTATGTCTCTCTGTGTGTTTGTCTCGCTCTCTGTGTGTCTCTCTCTTTGTATGTGTCTCTCTCCGTGTCTGTGTTTGTCTCTCTCTGTGTGTTTGTCTCTCTCTCTGTCTCTCTCTGTGTCTGTGTTTGTCTCTCTCTCTGTATGGGTCTCTCTCCGAGCTTGCATTCACACCTGATGATGGTTGCTTGTGTTGCAATCGAAACGTCGTATTCTGTTATTTATTTTATTTATTTTCTACGTGACTTTACCGAAAGAACCAAAGAGTAATTGCTGCAGTCACGAAAGCTTAAAATCAAGTTGAAAAATAAATATGCAAAACAGATAAAGTGTATATGTTCAAATTGCAAAAGTACACCAATTACCATTCTTGGGCAGAGTAGCAAAACAACAGCAAGAGAAGTCCAGACCACACCAAGACAACACACAGTCCCCTCAATAAAATTGCACACAAACATTGAACAAATCTATACACGCGGGTACGGATGAATGGTTGGTTGCTCCTTAACAACCCTGGGTCGCCCCCACCATTCCCCTCCCCCCCAGTTCCCTCCTCCCCTTCCTCCTTCCCCCTGTCCCTTTCTTTCTTCCAGTATGTTCGTTTACTTCCCCCTTACCACTCTCACCTCCCCATATAAACCTTCATGTCCACGCATGTGGTCTGCACCTGGGTGGGGCAGTGAGCCCAATTTCCCCCCTTCATTGGGCCATGTCGCACCAAAGCCGGGCCGCTGTTTGCAGAGTTTCTGTTCCCCCTCTGTTTTGTGATCGGCGTTTTGTGGCAATACGTTAACTTCCTTGCCCGGTATACAGGAGGTCACGGATTCGATCACGACCCTGGCGTCTGCTGTATATATGGAGTTTGTATGTTCTCTCTGTGGTTGCGTAGGATTTTTCTCCAGATCCTCCAGTTTTTTCATCCACATTTAGAATCAACATGCATTTAGAGTATTTGGATGCAAAAAAAGTCCACATAAGCCAATTAATTGAGCTATAATTTGTGACGAGGTCGCTTCTGAAAGAGGAGTTAATAGCTCGGTGAGCATTCCCTGGTAAAATAAAAAAATAGTAAGTAAATAGCTAATAGGAGTTGTGTAAAAAAACAACTCTGGATTGCAGATGCGAGCGCGGCTCAACTGGAAAGCACGGGTAGGCGAACCTGGTGCTGATGAAATGGACGAGGGCGCGTGCCCTCTCCTCCACGTCACACGAGGCGTCCCGCTCGTCGGGCGGCGCCACCGTGAGCGCCGCGTGGAGCAGCGTGGGCGCGTGAGCAGCCGCATGCTCGCCCGTGCTGCCCAGGCTCAGGCTGGAGCCCGTCGAGCTGGGGCTCAGGCCCGAGTCGGTGGCGGAGGGGCTCTGCGAGATCTGACGCAGCTCGCTGGCTCCTGCAACATGGGACGTGGCACGCACAAACGATGATGACAACAATAAAACATTTTAGGACGTTTCAAATTGGGGCGGAGATCTGTCGTGGTGCAACAGCACTCCGGACCCTGTGATCCGGAGGTCACCGGTTAAAATGCAACCTTCTGGCACGCCAGTTCTAATATAATTGGCTAAGGCACCTGACAACACTTAGTCACAGAAAATAATAAGTTAGATGGCAGGGGGCATTGCATTGAGGAATGAGTGATAGAGGGATCACGACTGGGAAAGAGTGGAGGGGCAAGGGGAGGGAAGATGAAGAGAATGGGCGATGGAGAAGAGGTAAGGTTTAAATGAGGAATGGAAGGAGGTTAAGGAGGGGAACTGCTTAATGTTTGTCGAACTCCTTTCGCACCCTACACTTAGCCAACGGTGCTAATCGTAGGTAATGTACAGGGGAAGTTTATTCCCAATGGCGCGTATTTCTCATATCCACCCCCGACTCTTTTCACCCTCGCAGCGCCGTAGCGCTGGGCAGTCTCACCGAGGAATGCGCTGTGCTGGGCAGGCGACGCCTGCACGGCCAGGATCTTGCTGTGGTTGAAGTCTCGGTTGGCGAGGAGGACCCGTGCCACCGAGCGGTGGACATCCAACCCCCCCACCTGCACCAGCAGCAGGTGCAGTAGCAGCTGCTTGCTGTGCTCGGGCACCTGCGGGTGCTGGTGGTCGAAACCTGCGTACCGCGGTTTACCCCACACATTGGCATCGTCATCAGCATTATCCTCACCGTCATCGTCATCATCGCCATCATCGTCATCATCGCCATCATCGTCATCGTCGCCATCATCGTCACCGTCATCACCATCATCACCGTCATCATCGTCTTGAGTACCAATATTATCAGCTTTGGCATTTTATCGTAACAAAAAAAAGGTAAAGGTGCAGCCCTGAAATGTCTTGCTCATGCCGCTGCTGGTGGAATGGCCTCCACGTGAGGGGAGCTCGAGAGCCCTCTGGAAGGTATTTGGCCAGAGATGTCTTGGAAGAGGTGGGAGTAAAGAACACTCCACCCCACACCACACGCAGATGTGCCGACTGACTGCGGTGAACCCATTCATACTGCCACTGGCTGGATGGGGGATTTAGAAAAATGTTCCAACTGTCACGCTGGGAGATCAAAGTGGTGACCACCCTCTGCATTGCCCAGTGTGCTAACCATTACATCGTGGAAGCATCCTGGACACCGAGTACGATATGCTTATTTTTAGTCTCACCAGATGACCCTCTGGTTCATGCGTTTAACTCACAATTTAAAAGTGCACGGTTCAAAATCCAGCCAGGGGATGACTCAACGAAAGATGCCTTGAAGGTTAATAAAATGAGTCCCACGTTATTACAAGCCAACGGTTGTAGTCATGTGGATAGAAGAAGAATTGTGCTGGCACATTGGTGAAACTAAAGTTTAGTAGAGAACTGAAGCCACTGAATATACTTTGTATATTAGCCAGTACATCTCTCACGATCGCTTTCCATTGATGCACAAAGAGACTGTAATAGAGCTTCATTGTGCTGCACGCATTTTGATTTTGCTTGCACGCTCTCACTTACGCAAAGGACCATCACACTCACTTCTATTGATATGAAGGTATTCAACCTTAAACGCACTGTGTCGTGTATATGGTGTGAAGTTTATGTATGTAGAATTTATTTCGCACCATACATAGCCAACTATGCTAATCGGAGGTGCGGGGGATGGACAAACTAAACACAAAAAGCAGTTCTAAAGAAAAACTTTTCAATCTATATTTAAAAGTACATAGCTCCAGTGGCTTCCTAATATCGGAAGGAAGAGCATTCCAGATGGCCACAGAAGTGCATCTGAAAGCGCGCGATGCGGTGACCGTCTTCATTTGGATGGCCAGTAGCCAAAAGTCGTTGCGAGCATGACGGGAGTTGCTGCGGTGGTTTACGCTCCTCGACGAGATCAGTGAGGTGCTCTGGTTCATTTGTGGCGGCACTTTGTGTGTATAATAATAGGGGTTTCCCCATTTTTTCTGGCAACAAAACCGAAAACTTTTTACAAGGAATCATGTGTGCATTAACCACAATACTTGTGGTGAAAATGCAAACAAAAAACACACTGATAATATAAGCATTGTCCTTGAAACGGATTGGTCCACACCAGAGACGGCTTTCTTTTGAACCTCGTCTCAATTGGTGCTAGACCAGAGGACACCAAAAGGCGTACAGCTCAAAGACAATGCACTATCAAAGCAATGAGGGCTTGGGGTAAGCATCTACATCATTAGACCTCCTTTGCCAGTACCAAAATATAATAATAGGGTCTTCCCTTTTTTTCTGGAAACAAAACTGAAACCTTTTTACGAGGAATCATGTGTGCATTAACCACAACACTTGTGGTCAAAATGCAAACGAGTGCGTGCTGAACTCACCCAGGAAGACGGCGTGCAGGAGCACCGGTAAATGAATGCTCCACTCCAAATGCACTCCATGGTCCACTACGAGTCCCGTCAGCAGGATCATCGCGATGCTGCACCTGTGTGAGAGCACACGCCGCCGGGTCAGTACAGAATTGGTACATGGTACATTTTCTTTAGACCCCCCCCCCCCCCCCCAACACTTCTTACTTCATTTTTTGATCATAGCAAACACATATAAATCCGCAATCGATACTTTAACATGATACAGTGCAGAATTTTGTTTGCATCGATTACATTTTTTTCACCAGTGTCTCACACCCTGTATATATTTAATTCCACTTCGTATTTGACACGTTACTTTTGTGTTAATTAATTTTTAATATGCTTGTTGAATGAGGAAAGTCTTACTGAATGTTATGGCTTTTTTCAGTCGAGCCCTGCCAAGATTTGCAGTAAGGGGCCATGAATGCTATGTATATTCCCATTAAATAATTGGCAGGTAAATTGTAAAATTTGAACTGGCACACAACAGGTCTACTCTTGCGAATAGTGTAATTGGATTTTTACACCATATAATCCCTGAAGAAGAGTCAATCATTCATGAGATCACCTGGATAACAACAAAAATAATAATAATAGATTTCTCTCACTACTTCTCTCTGTATTCATTATTTTATTGCCTTGCTAATGGAACAAGGACTGCCAAAGCATTTGTCCTGGGATCTGTTTTTAAGAATCTGGTGAAGAAAAATCAGACCTTATGATTATACGTAACTTCATGGGGACATAAGACAAATGTGGTTATGGAGGGCTGATGTGATGTGATGGTCTATTCGTGAATTTTGTCCTGGTCCCTCATGTCTCTGCTGTTGCCTCTCCGGTATAGTGCAGCTTCTTCAACCAGCAGTGGCCTGTGTGAACAGTTGGGAGGGCTGTGCCTTTAACCTTCACACTCAAGTTGAAAATGTTGTCTTTGGGTTTGGTGCGTAGAGAATTCAGAAGCAAAAACAAACCCCAATTAAATTAATTGCATCAAAACAAACGATAACAAAAGTACCGCAACCTGTGATTGCCACGGTTGGCTACGTATGGCGAAATCGAACTTCAACAATCATACACACAAGTTCCGTCCCTCTCTCCCCATGCCCTCTCACCTGTGGAGGGGAGGGGCCTGGCTGAAGGTCTCAGGCAAGTGATCTGTAAGACGAGCCCAGTAGCCTAAGGAGGCAGGCATGGGCAGGGGTTCCGGGCGTGTTGCCTCCGCCATCCGCACCCTCCAGCTCATGTATGCTGGCTCAGCTGTTAACAACGTCACAACCCCCCCATTGCGTTAACAGAGCGTATCGGGCATTGCATTAATGGTAATGGAGCAAGATTCGAATCGCTTCAACAAAACATTACGGTCATCGCGTTAAGGAAGTACAAAGAGCGACGCGTTAACAGAGCGGATGGCATTCTGGTCATGGACAGCATACACGGCAGTGTTACGTGAAGCATGCCGGACATAGTGTTCATGGAAATGTGTTGTTCTTAGGATAATAGCTGGATTTCTTCAGTAATATTAACTCTGAAGGCTCACAGAGTACCTTTTGCGGCATATAAACATCACCAACTAGGGAGACAGGAGGCCGGGCGTGGTTTTGGCCGCCCACCCCTTTGTGTGCCGTGCCGGCCTTCACAGGTGCTCTCGCTAACACCACTTGTCCAAACAGTCTGCTAAGGCTATACAGGGGGATCTGTGTTGCACGCTGGGTCTCACTAACATCACTTACCCCAACAGGCTATACAGGGGATCGCTGTCTTTGTACACCAGGGCTAGCTAACAGCACTTGCCCCAACAGTCTGCTAAGGCTATACAGGGGGATCTGTGTTGCACGCTGAGTCTCACTAACATCACTTATCCCAACAGGCTATACAGGGAATCGCTGTCTTTGTACACCAGGGCTAGCTAACAGCACTTGCCCCAACAGTCTGCTAAGGTCACGTACTTTTGTCGTCCTCGCTGGAGCTGCCCGAGCCGTTGCTGTAGCGCGACTCAAGCCGGGGGTGCGGCCGCATGATGCCGTAGTTCACCTCCTGGTGAGGGTGGCTGTCCCAGGCAATGAGAAACAACGCACGTAGCAAACATTAAACTAAAGAATAAACAAAATGTTTTTTTATTTGTATCAGCTAAGGCCCACTGAGCTACAGAGCTCTCTTTCAGAAGCCACCTGGCCACAAAAGATAGCTCAATGAAGTGGCTTACCATGTGGAAATTTCTAGCAGCCAAATACTCTAAACGCATGTTTCTAAATGAGGTTGGAAAAACCGGAAGACTAAGAGAAAAATCCACAAAACCACGGGGAGACCATGTAAACTCGAAATATATGTGCACCAGGGTCCGGCTCGAACCCACAACCTCCTGTATACCAGACGGGGTAGTTAACATCTTGCCACGGACATAAACGTTCGTGCAGGCAATTCTTTATTTTTGTTTATGGTGGACTTTCTCGTCATTTACAGATTTTAATTATTGATTCCATTAGGGGAGTAAATAGCTCCCCGTCGTGTAGATATCACGTCTCTACACATACGAGGTTCCAAACGAAAGACTTGGCAGCATCGAGCAATGAAGATTACCGTAACGATGAGTTCTAATAAGCAAGAAACCGGTCTACAGTTGTCTGTCTCACTGCTGCCTGTTGGTTAGTCACATTGTGTTCAAATTTTGATGGCGACCTAAGTCAAGAGAACCACAATGCAGTTCTTCAGTAAATGGTGGGTTTGCACAAGGCTGAGAGGTCGAGAGTGTTTTGTACGAACAGTGCATGTTTTTGTGTTGCTGTTGTTATTGTTGTTTTTGGAACTTTGCATTGCGGGGTTCATTTCTTCGGTCTAAAAAGTTAAAACCACTTCGCGATAAGTCCACAGCAGTCATCCTATGGAGAAACCGGCCCCTGCCATGGGAACGTCAAATTTCTATCACTGGCTAAGGGCTGGCAGCAGAGATCGGCACTTCTCTACTGCTTGCACATCATGTTTACCTCTGGATTTGACCCCAGGTGTCTCGCATAAATTTCTATAAAAAAAGGTACTGAACTCAACGGGCTCTCAAATAATATAAACGATGATCAATGGCAGATTGATTAGCTAGATGTTCACCATTGCCAGCTATGCATCCCCGTCACTATGAGGGCCACCGTTGGCAGTAGGCGACCAGCTCTCTGTGTGACTGGGTGCGCGCAGCAGGGGGACACGCCGAGTGGTTGCGTTAAGGTGGCGCACCTCTCTTCAAAGCTCGCCCCGTTGACCATCTTGTTGTCGGGCCCTTGCGCAATCCCGGCAGCGCCTCCGCTCCCTGCGAGCGTGTGGCTGCTGGAGCTCGTGCCTGCATACAGGAGGAAGGGGCAGGAGGGAATGTAGTGACACGGTGGCGAGAAGTGGTTCACGTGTGGCCGCACGAACCAGTAGGAGCACGATTCGCACGGTTAGCTAAGTACGGTTGTGAAAAATACATTTAAGATACATACATACACATACGTACGGTCGCCAGAAAGAAATGAAGAAATTGGCACTCAAATTGGTTTGCAATTACATGTAAACATGTTATAGTTGAAGCCATGAAACGAGAATAAAAATTAATCTTGACTTAAAGCTTTCGTGACTGCAGGGAATGAGAATAAAAATGGTCAGCTCTTAATTACTGACACACGTGCTTTTGAGCTTGTTGTCCTTCCCCCACACCCCCCATGAGCATGGTTGGCTACGTAAGTGCAAAAGGAGTTCAACGTAATACATACATCGGCTAACGCCTACAATAACTTAGTAGATTACCTAGCTTGTTAAAAAGAATTCCTGGATAATGTAATGATCAATATCCCAGTTGACAGTTATGTCTCCAGGCTCAATCAAGCATGATACAGTGCTTATCTTCAATGATATTCATGAGCCAGTAGTGGAAATTCCACATTAAATGGTAGGGAGCCAGCCCATCTAGACAAAAATAATTTTTTTTATAATTCCACAAAGTGCTCCTCATTTTTATCAGCCTCAAAAAGGACAATTAGGCGAGTCAACCTCTGATCGGGATTTGAACTCACAACCTCCTCATCCTAACCATCATCATCTTCATGATAATATTAAATGATTACGATGAAATAAAAGATGAAGAATTGAGCTGTGAGAAGGTGAGGAGCAAGGACTGAGCGGAGAGAGAGCAGCACCAGAGGCTGACGGGGAGGTCCGCTGGCCCGTGAGAAGCCTGTAGAACGGCGGGTTCTTGGTGCGGATGAGGATGGAGTTGACAGGCTCCATGCGCTCCAGCTCGGGCAGCAGCTCTTCCAGGGTCTCCACCGTCTTCTCCCGACAGATGAAGATCACCACCTTCTTGATCTGCTCGCAGGGCCAGGGAACACGGCGTGACGATGGGAGGGGAAGCACGCATGAATCAGAGAAGAAAAATCGACGAGCAGAGAGCAGAGAGAGGTAAGAGATGGCAAGAGAACAATGCAGAGCAAAGTAAGTGTGGCGGCATATGTCACGAGGAGCATCTGGAACAAATTAAAAGCACTGTTTCACCACGAGACGCCGTAACACTATAAACTTGCATTAATAAATGCCAAGCCCTATGATCGGTGCTAATATCTCCTGAAATGAGTCCTGTACTCATAGAAATCATCTGTCAAGGAGCATAAACCATCACGCGAACTCCGATTATCCTCGCCGCAGCGGCTTTTGGCTAGCCATTAAACAAAGGCGGTCACCGCATCGCGCGCTTTACGTTACACTGCTGCGGCCAACTGGAACACTCTTCTTTCCAATATATTAGGAAGCCACTGGAACTAAGCACTTTTAAATCTGGTTTGAAAACTAATTTCTTTAAAACTGTTTTTCTTTGTGCATACAAAGTGAATTGTAAGCAGACGTTCGGAGTAAAAGAGGAGTCGCGTTACCTCTTGCTTCTTGTCCACACATAAATACAAACATACATTCAAAGTAATACCAAAGTTGTGCATTAGCCAAGGTTGCGAGGACTGTCAAGGAGCAGTGGGCGTAACTCACAGAGGGCAGCAGGTCAGGCTCACTGCGCACGCCGCAGAGTGCGATCAGGAACTGCAGGATGACACGCAGGTTCCCGGGCCAGCTGTCGGCCAGCGCCGTCCACACACTCTCCAGCTCTGCACTCGGGGAGCCCTCCCCGTACTGGCATGCGAGAGTGTTGGTTTGCGATTATTATTCGGAAAACAAGCCGGCATGAAACACATTGCCACTGTGCATACGTGCATGCCCCCGATTAGCACGGTTGGCTACGTGTGGTGCGAAAGAAGTTCAACGTACATACATATATACACGTGCACTGTTGACCCAGTTAAGATAAGCGGTACTGTAGTCGCAGCACATGGCTTGTAAATGTAAGGTGGAGGAAGATTTTACTTACAACCCTGAAAGGGATGATAAATTGAGTACCGCTTTGGAGAAAGTCAACAGTTGTTGTCATATGGGTAGACTTGCCACCGCCATAGTGATGTGGAATTTCTACCAGTCTCAGTACTACCAAGGCAGACGAACACTGCCCACAACTTCTTTTTTTTATCAGAGAAATATTTTTACGTTAGATTTGTGTCAACATGAAAAAAACATCACCAAAGTTGTCTTGGAACACTGCTCTATAATGCCGCACTGCCACCTTTTGTGAACTCGCACCCCATGCACAAAACCTGTGCACAGGTGCTCTGTGATCAAATTTTGACTTAAAACTTTCGTGACTGCAGGAATTCATATTCTATGGTTCTTTCGGTAAAGTCACGTCGATAGAAAAAATAGTAACAATAAAGTAATAAAAATAAAAATAAAGTGAATAAAAAATTAATAAAAATATCACGACGTTTCGATCGCAACACAAGCAATCGTCATCAGGATCGGGAAAGATAGGGTGACAGCTTGCGGAGACGGCTTGCGATGACGATGATGACGACCACGATGCCTCTGGGAGCTCGTACCTGAGCGGTCATGTGCAGGAGGTTGTTGAGCACCAGCGCGGTGGCGAGCGGCGATCCCCAGCCGGAGCCTTTGAGCCAGCGCCGTCCCTGCCCGGAGTCGCGCCTCGCCTCCGCATCTTCCTCCTCGTCCCAGCCGGCGCCTTCGACGGCGCTCCGCTCCGGCGTGCCGCCACCACCGCCACTGCCGCCGCTCCCCGCATCGCCTGGGAGACCCCAGGCGCCGCCGGCGCCACCCGCCACCAGCTGAATGTTGCTGAGCCACGGCTGAAGGTAGGAGAGCAGCACCTGGCGGCCTGGGGTTTGCGTGGTTTGGAATCGCCGGCTCAGCTCTGTAAGGGTGGACGGGGTCAAACGGTGGGAGGTGGAGGTGGGATCGAAGCATGAGCACATGAAGTAGTCGACAGGTTTGAATGCTGCCACAGGTGCACTGTTAATTAATCGATTGTAAAACTTCAAATGTATGGATGTATGTATGTTGAACTTCTTCCGCACCGTACATAGCTAAGCGGAGGTGCGGGGGAAGGACAACGAAGAGCTCGGAGGTGTGAAGACACAGAGCGGCTTTTGGCTGGCCATCGAACAAAGACGGTCACCGCACCGCCCTTTCAGATGCGCTTCTGCAGCTGTCTAGAACACTTTTCCTTCTGATATTAGGAATCCACTGGAGCTATGCACATTTAAATCTCGATTGAAAACGAATTTCTCTTGAACGACTTTTTGTGTCGAATTTATTGTCCCTCCCCCCGTACCTCCGATTAGCACGGTTTGCTACGTCCACAGTGCGAAAGAAGTTCAACATACATATTAGAGGATATTAGGTAGCCATAGCCACGCGTAAATGATGGAGGAGTGGGGGTGCATTCTGTCCGCACCAGAGAAGAGTGGCAGGGTGAGCTCGGGGTAGAGGCGTGCGAGCTCTTCAGAGAGCGAGTACGCCGAGAGGGAGTAGAGAGGAGGCAGTGGCATAGGCGAACTCAGCAGGCCGTCCACGTCTCCCGACTCGTCTCGCTCTGTGTACCCAAATAATTTCTCCTCCATCACCTGGTGGAAGGACACAGCGACAACCACTGTTAATGCTGCAGGCGTCTGCTGGCGATTTGTAATTCACCCGTACTGGTGGAGTGGGTGTGCGCGTGTGTGCAGAAATGCACATTGTGTCATCGTCATCTTATTAAGAGACACTGGTAACACGACAGCAATTTAATTCTGAGGAGAACCAAAAAAACTAAAAGCAAAAGGAATATCGTATGTTATTTTTCTAAATGCACTTTCATATCGTGATATTTCTCTTGTCATGGAATGCTGCTGCCGCAATGGTTCGGGCACACTGGGCTTGCAATCCAGAGGTCGCCGGTTCGATTCAATCTTCTGGTGTGGCAGTTAAATCAATGGGGAAAGTTTCTTAAATCCCGCTCCCCGCCCAGCAGTACACACGTGTTCACTACAGTTAGCTGACTGACAGGTCACACGTGGAGCAGTAAAGTGTGGGTACTCCCCCCTCTTGTAATATATCTGGCCAGTGTGGAAGAGCAGGCCAAATACCCTCTACAGCCACCTCTGGTGGAGGTCCTTCTGCCTGCCAGCAGAGGGTGTCAGTAAGTAACTGCAAGGTCTGATATCTGTTGTATACAACAGCATCGTATTTTTACACGCTTTTATTTGACTCACTCTGTCTGTTGTCGTATCCTCAAAAAATATTGTAACTCAATTTTTACCCACTTCCCAATGTGCTATCGACGGCAAACTTGGTATACTTATGTCATACTAATGACCAGACTATATTCTATCATAAAAAATCTAAAACATATATTTTAAAACATTCTTTTACACGCTTTGATAAACTCACTCTGTCTGTTGTCGTATCCTCAAATCTTGTAACTAAATTTTAACCCACTCCCCAATGTCATATCGACTGCAAACTTGGTATACGTATGTCATACTTGTGACAATACTCTATTCTATCATTTAAAAAAAAACTTTTTTTTTAAACAATCTTTTTTATATGTTATGTTTCGGCTTGGGTCTAATTGTCCACGCTCAACTGACGTTGGCTGTAATTGGCCACGCCCCTTACGTTGTGGCAAACTTCGAGGCCACTTTCTGGAGTCGTGGAGTTCTGCCATTACTCGTACGGTATATTTCATTCATTTTTTTAAATCCTTTATATTAAGTTCACTTGCGCGCTTGCTTGCTTGCTTGCTTACGACCGTGCAAATCTTTCGGTCGTTTTTTAACCCACTTCCCGTGATCCAATCGAGCTGACAATTTCCACACAGACTCGTTGTGCGTGACAATTAATTTTCGTGAAATCAAATCTCCAAAATTTTACACTTTTTAGGACAAAAATATTATATTTAATTACCAATTGCTTAATGGTGCCATGCAATCATCTGACCCATAGGTGGCAGCCATCTCAAGCCAGAGGACGAGAGGACTCTAGCCGCCACGCATATAAAGGATTTATAGTGAAAAACTTTGTTTTTACGGGTTATACTTGTTTAATTACTTATTTTTATCGTAGCAAAAGCTTCAGTCAATTCTCAGAGTGAATTTGAATGCACACCTGCATGAGTTGCAGCGCCATCTCGTAGATCTCCTGGGATGGGTCAGCCGCTTTAAACAGGATCAGGTTGAGCAAAGTGATCATGCCCATTGGCCAATCCCTGTCGCACACACGACAAACAGCACACAGAGGCCCATTATAGCCACCACATTAGCCATCAGCTGTTATTCACAAAGTATTGGACTCTACAAGAAGGCTCAGGTCTGATATTAGGGGTGCTGCCACTAAAGGCTGCTATATTCACCACAGCAGGGAAAAATATTAACGAATAGATTTTTTAATCAAATTGCATTGCCAAATTCATCAAACTGCGAGGGCGTGAATCATTACAGATCTTTTTGACAGAGGAATGACACGCACAAAGATCCTTAATAGAGCTACACGAGGGAGTGGATGGGCAGCGCCACACCTGGCTGTCGTCTCACTAGTGGTCGTGTTTATACACCGCAGATATTTGTCACTGCTGTTGGTGGCCATGAACGGGCATAAAACTCGGGTGCAGTCCACTTTGCTACCACTCCCCATAAAGACAAAAATCCCCACCCCCTCCCCCCCATAGCCTCAATAGATATTTGAGGCAAGTGCTGTTAGGGAGCACCTATGAAGGCACAGCACACAAGGTGGGTGGCCAGCACCATGCTCGGCTGCCTTTGTCTTCCCAGTGGTGATGTTTATGCATTGCACTAGGTACTCATTTGAGGCTGAGCAGACCTAGGGGAGGCCCAGGACCGATTCAAATAATCGTCACTGGTGGTGGCCGTGAGTGGGAATCGAACTCGGGTTGCTGGGGTTTGTAGTGCAGAGCGCCAACTGCTACACCACCGCTCCCCACCAGACACACACATACACACACGTGAGCTACAATGAGCGCAGGGCATGTGGGTGAGCTCTGACCTGCTGGTGAAGGTGGTCGCGATGGCGGTGAAACAGCCAGCGGCCACGAGCGGCGAGCCCGTGTAGCAGCGGTCAACGGCCCACTGCAGCAGGTAGCTCAGCTCAGGGTTCAGCTCCAGCAGCAGCACCACCATCTCGCAGCCCAGCTGGTGCACCTAAATGCACAAGTCAGGGCGCGTAGGGTTATTGCATTCATTTGAACAAATCGCATGAGATTATTTCATCATGGGACCTCCTTTGCCAGTACCAAATATGAGAATAGGTTTTCCCCTTTTTTCTGGCAAAAATTCAGGTGTTAAGATGTTAAAACACCAAACGGAAATCTTTTACAAGGAATCATGTCTGCATTAACTACATATACTAGTGGTCAGAATGCAAACAAAACACACTCTGATAGTATATGCATTGTCTTTTAAACCGATTGGTCCACACCAGGGATTATTTCATTTTTACTTCAACAAAATGTGCAAGGCGACTTCCGTTCACATGAATGTGCATATTAGTTCTCTTTTGAAATGAATTTGGCTTTTTTTTTAAAGATCACAGGTGTAATCTTTGAACATTCGTCAACAGGATTTAAATATAACACAGAGTATAAACAACATACAGAACAATACCTCTCACATGCGCATATTTGGTAAACAACGTTTCAGTATAACGAATTTTTGAGCTTTTTTAACCGTTATTTTACACGGAATGCAAAAAAAGATAACTAAAATAAAATATTTAAATGCACAGAAATAAAAAAATTATGCGTCGACCTCTGTTACTTTACAAATAAGAATAACATTACGTTTATTCCATGTTTATTTTATTTATATCGCTTTTTATGTTAATACTCTCCGTATAATATATATCTTTTTAATATAAATCGTCTTTGTTTACAATATTAACGGTAAGTTACAGTGAGGGAAAAAAGTATTTGATCCCCTGCTGATTTTGTACGTTTGCCCACTGACAAAGAAATGATCAGTCTATAATTTTAATGGTAGGTTTATTTGAACAGTGAGACACAGAATAATAACAACAAAATCCAGAAAAACGCATGTCAAAAATTTTATAAATTGATTTGCATTTTAATGAGGGAAATAAGTATTTGACCCCTCTGCAAAACATGACTTAGTACTTGGTGGCAAACCCCTTGTTGGCAATCACAGAGGTCAGACGTTTCTTTTAGTTCGCCACCAGGTTTGCACACATCTCAGGAGGGATTTTGTCCCACTCCTCTTTGCAGATCTTCTCCAAGTCATTAAGGTTTCGAGGCTGACGTTTGGCAACTCGAACCTTCAGCTCCCTCCACAGATTTTCTATGGGATTAAGGCCTGGAGACTGGCTAGGCCACTCCAGGACCTTAATGTGCTTCTTCTTGAGCCACTCCGTTGTTGCCTTGGCCGTGTGTTTTGGGTCATTGTCATACTGGAATACCCATCCACGACCCATTTTCAATGCCCTGGCTGAGGGAAGGAGGTTCTCACTGAAGATTTGACGGTGCATGGCCCCATACTGGTGTAGAGGTGATACGCGCTGGGATTAAGGATCGTATGCACAGTGCGTGATGATTGGCTGTGTAGGTGGTGACGCGCGCTGACGGTGGAGGATCAGGGGTCAGCGCGGGGTCGTGGGTTACGGGGTACCGATTGGCTGTGGGCGGTGACGCGCTGAGAGGGAGTGATCAGGTGGCAGCGCAGTGTGATTGGTGGAGTAATGTTAACACGCGCTGGGGAAAGCGGATCGTAGAGAGAGTGCGTCGTGATTGGGTCATTAAGGAACGACGCTCACGTCGACGCCGCATCAGCTCCGTCCCTCGTGAGCAGGGGCTATAAAAGGGGATGCACACAGGCGTAAGGGCAGTGTGTAACCAGCGAAGAAGGAAGACGGGGATGAAGACCTAGAGCCCTGCGGTACCTAGCCCCGCTGTCCTAAGGGGACCGGGACTCTGTGTAACCCAGAGGCGAGTGTAGTGGGTGTAGCCATAGGTCTACACGAGCCGAATGTACTATGTGTAGCCAGGGCATAGGGCTTACACGAGTCGAGTGTATTGTGTAGCCAGAGGCATAGGGCTTACACGAGTCGAGTATATTGTGTGTAGCCAGAGGCATAGGGTCTACACGAGTCAAGTGTATCGGGTGTAGCCAGAGGCCTAGAGCTTACACGAGATTAGTGGAGTGTGTCGGAGGAAGAAGAGAGACCACACGTTGTATTGTGATACCTAAAGGATTTAATAAAAGTGTGTTACCCGTCAAGAAGTTCCTGCCGTCAATTCCCATACTTCAACTGGCGTCAGAAGTGAAACGGTCCTCCAAGCATGGATACAAGGAGGAACCGTCGGACCCACGGGATTGACCACGAGGACAACCTCGACGACGCGGGCCAGCGGGCATCAGGGGGTGAGGAAGAGGAGCTGCCCACGGGGCAGGATCCACCGACGGCGCCGGTCGAGCGACGGGGGACTGACACCGTGCTTCGCGAGGCACACTCCCGTCTGGCGGAGCTGCTGCTCGCCGCCGCGTCCATCTTGGCGGAGATCAGCTCGTCGGGAGGAGCGGGGACGGCGGCCGACGTGCTACAGGGTCGCCCTGCAGATTCCCGCCAAAACGATTTGGCGATTCCCGCCATTTCATCCGCTCCAACTTTTGGCGGGAACGGCCATCACCACGTGGCAGCGGTTCTCCATGCGCGGCCGCTGACGTCACCAACGCGCGCGGCGGACCGCCATCACACACCCGCCACTGGGGCCGCCATCTTACACACCGACGGGGGGGCAGAGAGGAAGCACGAGGAGGAGGACGACTTTATCTTTCAGCAGCGCCTTCCCACGTTGTCAGCATTCAAGGCGGAAGGCGGGGATTGGAGCCAATTTCAGCGCAGATTTTTGGCGCATCAAGAGATGTCCGCCTGGTCCGACGCTACGGCACTGCGGGCACTGCCTGCCATGCTGGACGACAACGCGCTCGCGGCCTTCACGTCCGCACGCAGGTCGGACCGCTCCACGCTCAAGGATGCGCTGGCTCTCATGGCCAAAGTCTACGGTCCTCCCTCGGCGTGCCGCCATCATTTCTACGCAAGACGGAAGGCGGACACGGAGACCGTGCTCGCCTACCGCACGGCGTTGCTCGCTCTCGCTGACGCCGCGTTCCCTCGTATGGACGAGGAGGGCCAAGATGCGATGGTTTTGGAGCAGCTGCTCAAGTTGGCGCAGGACCTGGGGGTCCCCATCAACACGGCCGACGACACCGATATTTCTTCATTACGGGTCGCCACGAGCATGCAAGCGCACGAGGTCCTTCAACGAAAGCAGGGGGTCGTCTGCAACGCTGCCGTGGCCTCAACTCCGGGTCCGGTTGACACCGTGCCCCAAGTCGTCAGCCCACGAGAGGACGCGTTCATCGCGGGACGAGCGGGGGACTGGAGGTCGGGGGGTCGTTCGCCTCTGTGAGCGGCCCGCAAGCTGGAGCAACCGAGATCTCCGACTACTGTCATCACCTGCTATAACTGCGGCCTTCGTGGCCACGTGGCCTCCGGTTGCCGCGCCCCACGTCAGCGCGCCATGGGACCTCGGCTGGACGACGACCAAGGCCCCAAGTCATCACTGCAAACCCCGGCAAGTCGCGGCACCTCACATGCTTGGCCCGCATACTCGACACGTATGGGTCGTCGCGTTGCGACGAGGGAGAGCCGAGTAGAGTTCGGGGATTCGGTTCGGAGAGGGGGGTTCGGCCGGGACCGGGGAGACATTAAATGGTCGGAATTGGGGCACAGAATAGTGGCTGCCTCAGCGGGTTCATCCGTCGTTACCGGATCGATTGATGGGGTCGAGGTCAGGGTGTTAGTGGACACGGGGGCATCGGCGACTATTATTTCGGATCTCATTTATAATATTCTCCCGGTACAATGTCGTCCGCTTCTTCCGGTGGATGTGCCATTTTACGCCGCTAACGGGGGATCGTTGGGCATTATCGGTCAGATTAGGGCGTCCATTTGCATTGGTGATATCAAATTGTCGGGACCCGTTTTCGTTTCATCTTCCCTGGCGGTTCCTTGCCTATTGGGCACTGATTTTTTGGCGAAAATGCCCATCAAAATTCTCATTGATCAGCGTTGCATTGAACTACCATCGGGTCGCCGTATTTCATTTTTGACGAGCCCTAATGTAATTCGGACGGCGTGCGCTACCATTCAGGCGTTAGCAACACAGACCGTGCACGTGCCCCCGGGTTCACAAATGTTGATTCCCCTCCGGTTACGGAAGCCATGGGGGAAGGAGGCCTCGGAACAGGCCATGCTTTTGGGTCCTTCTAATAGGGCTGTTGGAGGTCTCGATTTATCGGTGGCTCACACTTTGGTTGGGGCAGACAGGGATCCGTTTGTCATGGTTTTAAACGCTGGGGCGCGGCCGGCCGTCATTCAGCAGGGCACCGTGCTGGCTCACGCGGCACGGGTCCCTGCGGAGGAGAGGCTGGTTGCGCAGGCTGATCCGAGCCCCACGAATAGCGTACCATCAAAGGAGGACCTAGATTGGATTGATATGCTGTGCGCGGACTCTGACGATTTGTCAGCGCTACAGTTGGGTGCGTTGCGCGGGTTGCTGATTGAATTTTCGGATGTCTTCAGTAAACATAAGTATGATATCGGATGCACGGACCTGCTACGCCACCACATTGAAACGGGCGATGCGGCACCGGTCAGGCAAAATCCCTTCCGACTGAGTCCTGCTGAGAAGGAACATGTTCAGTCGGCAGTTAACGATATGCTGGAAGCCGACATTATTTCGCCTTCTTCCAGTCCTTGGGGAGCACCTATTGTGCTCGTTAAAAAGCAGGACGGGTCCCTGCGATTTTGCGTCGATTTCCGCCGCCTGAATAAGATCTCGGTGGCCGACGCGTATCCGCTCCCCAGGATGGACGAGTCTCTCGACGCATTGTCCGGTGCGCGATACTTTTCGACTCTTGATTTATTGTCCGGATTTTGGCAGTTGCCACTCGACGAGGAGTCTAAGCCTAAGACTGCATTCCGGACTCCAGGGGGCCTGTTTCAGTTTAACCGGTTACCCATGGGACTTCACTCCTCTCCTGCGACGTTTCAGCATCTTATGGAATTGGTTTTGTCGGGCTTGCAGTGGGAGACGTGCCTCATTTACCTTGACGATGTCATTGTTTTCGGTAAAACGTTCGAAGAACACCTCCAGCGATTGAGAGGGGTGTTCTTGCGAATGCGATCGGCTAAATTAAAGTTTAAACCGGCCAAATGCCATCTTTTTCGTAAATCCGTGAGGTACTTGGGTCACATTGTCGACTCTTCGGGGATTTCTACCGATCCTGCGAAGACGGACTGTGTCAGTTCGTGGCCGACGCCCACGTCAGTGTCAGACGTGCGCAGTTTCATCGGTTTTGCTTCGTATTATCGCCGATTCGTTGAGCACTTCGCCACCATTGCAAAGCCCTTGCACGCTTTAACGGCAAAAGGAGTGAAGTTCCGGTGGGGACCGGAGGAGGAGGCTGCATTCTGCTCCCTCCGGGACGCCTTGGTAAGGGCCCCACCCTTGTGCTATCCGGACTTTGAGAGTCCCTTCTTGCTAGACACGGATGCTAGCAACACGGGCATTGGGGGAGTGCTGTCCCAAGTCGTTGGAGGGGTCGAACGGGTGGTCGCCTATGGTAGCAGGGTGTTGTCGCCGGCAGAGCAGCGCTACTGCGTCACCCGTCGTGAACTACTTGCCATTGTTTTTTTTGTACAACAATTCAGGCCATATCTCTATGGTCGTCATTTCACGGTCCGGACGGACCATGCGGCGCTCCAGTATTCATTACGGGTTGCCCAGCCCTCGGGCCAATTGTCGCGGTGGTTGGAAGTCCTCCAGGACTATCAGTTCACGACTACGTACCGTAAAGGGTTGCGACACACGAATGCCGATGCCCTGTCGCGGTTGTTGCCTTGTCACAAATGTGCGTGCTTATCGGGATCGGCGCGCTGTAAACCTCCGGTTACGGAAGGTAGGGAGGCGTTGGTTGCGACCGCGAGCACACCAATTGGGGATGGTCCCGCTACCCCAGGGGGTCAGGACTCGCTGCTCTCACTGTCGTTGATTGAGTGGGGCCGTCTCCAAATGGCGGACAGCTCCCTGCTGGCATTGCGCCGAAAGACGGAGGGTTCCGAAGGTAGCCACGACCGAACTGGCTCCTACGAGCTTAAGCAGGGCCTGTTGATGAGATGGGACAGTTTGTCCCGGCGGCATGCGATTGTGGTGCCTTCTGCTGTGAGGGGGAAGGTTGTCTTGGCCGCACACGAACGCCTCTTGCATTTGGGAGTTAACAAAACGCTTGCCCTGCTTCAGCGTGACTATTATTGGCCGGGAATGGGGGGTGACGTGGTGAATATTCTGAAGGGTTGTGTTGAGTGCGCCAGACGGAAACCACCGCCCGTGGCAGCTAATCCACCGCTGCAATCTATTCAGGTCTCGCGCACTAACGAGCTCGTTGCACTCGATATTCTGGGGCCCTTTCCGGTCACGCCTAGGGGTAATAAGTACCTGTTGGTGGGGGTCGAATATTTTACCCGGTGGCCTATGGCGTGGCCACTCGCCAACCAGTCGGCGGCGGCTGTGACGGACGCCTTTGTCCAGGGCTACGTCCTGGACAAGGGGGCTCCCGAACGCTTGCTGACTGACCAAGGGAAAAATTTTTCGAGTAAATTACTGCAGGAGGTGTGCGACCTGTTGGGTACCAAAAAGGTGCGTACCTCCCCGTACCACCCGCAGACGGACGGGATGGTGGAGAGGCTTAACAGGACATTGACCTCTATGCTGTGCCAGCAGGTGTGTGAGTCGCATGTTGATTGGGACCTGCAGGTCCCTGGGGTCCTTGCCGCGTATAGAATGGCCCCCCATGCAGCTACGGGGTTTTCCCCGTTTTTTCTAATGTACGGTCGGGAAGCCGACCCGCCCATGGAAACGCAGCTGGGTCTGCCCGCACCACGAACTAATTCTAAATTGGCAGAGCATATTAAATTTAATATTCATAAACTGACAGAGGCAAGGGAGGCCGCACGGCTTAATTCGCGGGCTCGCCAAATTGCGAACGAGCGGTTGCGGGCACGGAAGGTGTCCGTGCACAATTGGGAACCAGGTGACAAGGCCTGGCTGCATTGCCCTCAGGCACCTTTGGCCACGTCGCCTAAATTGTTGAAGCCGTGGCGGGGACCCGTGGAGGTCGTGCGGGTGGCACGCCCCCAGTGCGTTCAGATAAAATGGGGGAAACGCCGTTGGTACGTCCACCCCTCCCGACTGAAACCGTTCTCGCCTCCGTATGGCCTCCCCTTGTGTCGTGAGGGCCGAGCATGTGACGTGACCGACGACCCTGAGGGGGAATTGTCCTTGCCTGCTCCTCACATGTCTCCGCCTGATCCGCTCCCAGGTGTCTCGGAACTGACTGCTGCCGACCACCGGCGGCCGGATCTTCACGGCGGGGCCCGTCCTTCCAGGCCCGACCCGTGCCGTCTAGAGCTGCCGGAGACACCGGACGGTCGCCAACGTCCCGTTCCATACGACGGACCGGCCAGACGGACTCGCGCTAGGTCGCGCTACTTTGTGTAACCTACCACGTGCGGAGTCGAGGCAGCCGGAGCGCCTCGGCACTGCGTGGGTCACAGTGACACTTGGCGCGTTCGTTTTACGGTGTTCGCTTTTATTGTGTTGTTCGTCGGGCTGTATATTGCTTCATATTTAAGGTTGTGTTATGTTGTTGTTGTTGTGTTACGGGGCACACTGGGATGTGGAGTTCTTTATTACTGCGTTGCGTTATGTTGTGTTGTAGGTTAACAGCCGGGCCGGCTGCAAGCTATGTGGGAGGGGGTGATGTAGAGGTGATACGCGCTGGGATTAAGGATCGTATGCACAGTGCGTGATGATTGGCTGTGTAGGTGGTGACGCGCGCTGACGGTGGAGGATCAGGGGTCAGCGCGGGGTCGTGGGTTACGGGGTACCGATTGGCTGTGGGCGGTGACGCGCTGAGAGGGAGTGATCAGGTGGCAGCGCAGTGTGATTGGTGGAGTAATGTTAACACGCGCTGGGGAAAGCGGATCGTAGAGAGAGTGCGTCGTGATTGGGTCATTAAGGAACGACGCTCACGTCGACGCCGCATCAGCTCCGTCTCTCGTGAGCAGGGGCTATAAAAGGGGATGCACACAGGCGTAAGGGCAGTGTGTAACCAGCGAAGAAGGAAGACGGGGATGAAGACCTAGAGCCCTGCGGTACCTAGCCCCGCTGTCCTAAGGGGACCGGGACTCTGTGTAACCCAGAGGCGAGTGTAGTGGGTGTAGCCATAGGTCTACACGAGCCGAATGTACTATGTGTAGCCAGGGCATAGGGCTTACACGAGTCGAGTGTATTGTGTAGCCAGAGGCATAGGGCTTACACGAGTCGAGTATATTGTGTGTAGCCAGAGGCATAGGGTCTACACGAGTCAAGTGTATCGGGTGTAGCCAGAGGCCTAGAGCTTACACGAGATTAGTGGAGTGTGTCGGAGGAAGAAGAGAGACCACACGTTGTATTGTGATACCTAAAGGATTTAATAAAAGTGTGTTACCCGTCAAGAAGTTCCTGCCGTCAATTCCCATACTTCACTGGTATTGGGCGAAAAACATGGAAATGCTGAAAAAGCACCCTGCAAAATCACTCCACTGGGATCGCACTCAACAACAGCCCCCCCCCTCCTGCCCACTTCCGCAAAAAACTGACAGGGCCCTCCTGAAGACGAGCCTTGTGAATTAGTGAGGGCTCTCCTGGGATATAACAAGCGAAACAATAAAAACAATAACACGTTCCTTCACCGACCCACCTGCGGGTCCGGGTGTCCCAAAATGCTGTCCAACCACCGCTGCAGGTACCCGTCCATGGGGAGACCGACGCTCTCCAGCAAGGGCCCGCAGCACAGCACGGCCGCCATAGCCTGGGAGCAACACGCAGTGTAAACAAAAAGGCTCCCCCTTGCACCACGCAGTGTTATTGTGAAGGTTACCGTCAAACATTCGTTTCTGATAAAACTGTACTTTTAAAAGTAAGGTAACATACATCCATAGAATATCCTTTAAAAGTGACTCTCTACAGGTTAATCTATCGGAGGTCCTTCTGCCAGCGGAGGAGTGAGCAAACGATTTCAGGCCTGTGCCTTTATCTTAACTGGACTTTAAAATCACAAATTTCCAATTGGGAGTCGAGCTCTTTAACCGCAGCACCACCTGAATGCTAAACTTAACATGACGCTGAATCCCAAAGAGTGACCGACTCAAGTGCGGCTCCACGTTCACGCAGCTGTGAGAATGTGTTGCTTTTGCAAGGTGGAGTTTTTATTGACTGCATAAACCACTTTCAAAGAGGAGAGGGCAACTTTAGTACAAAGAGATGGATGTTTGAGACAGGTAATGGCTGCACTGTGTGCGTCAGTCAGCTAGCTTTTAACACAATCGACTACAAATACATTTCTGACCTTGAAATATAGATGCATGCCAAGCAACTAGAAAACAAATTTTAGAATATGGATGAGAGGAATATTTGGAATTCCATGGCAAGGAAAGGTAAGCCACTTAAAAGTTACGAATAGGGCACGGCAGAAAAGTATTGGAGAGTAATCAGGAAGAGGATTATGCAATGGGTGGATCATGTGTGCATTATCAAGACAGGCCCTCGAGAAAACCCACAGATCAGCAACCAATGGTAATACCTAAACCTAGATGGTGGGACACTGTAAGAGTGAGCTTTTGAAGGTGGGGTGGTGGCATTGGCCATTGTCACCTCTTGACCTTGGCATTTAATCAGCTGAAGCTGCAAGTAGAGTCTGGAATCAGGGCACCATGGAGTTGAGCGACTGGGCACATACGGCGGAAAACTAGAGCGGCGAGGTCACCTTGAGAGCGAGGAAATTCTGGCGTGTGATGGGCTGACTCCTCTCCGTACTCCACTCGAGCTGCGTGGAGATGAGACGGAACGGGCCTGCCCACTGGCTGAGAAGGTGGAATAAACTGTGCCGTAAGCTCTGCTGGGGGAACAGCAAGCGTCGCTCCGATACTGCTCACAAGCGGTGAAAGGAAAGGCAACACAGAGCAGCAGTGTCACTTCTAGGTGAAACGTGACCAATAAAGGAAACATGCAGCCACTGTTTTGGAGGGTTACATTATACTGACCGGTCACCATCATATAAATATATATTTTCTCAGCAATGTCAGGACTTAAAGACTGCTCCATACCCATTTTCGCAGGGAAGCAATTACTTAATCATTAGGCCTCCTTTGCCAGTACCAAAATATAATAATAGGGTTTATCCCCTTTTTTTATTATCAGTGTGTTTTTTGTTTGCAATTTGACTGCAAGTATTGTGGCTAATGCAGACATGAATCCTCGTAAAAAGCTTTCAGTTTTGTTGCCAGAAAAAGGAGAAAAACCCTATTATTGAAGCATTTACTGTTTAAACTGATACAAGCTTTCACGTGGTATACATTCCGTTGTCTGTCACAGCAAATCTCAATGAATGCCTGCCCCTGCTCAGGTATTACAACCAGGAACTCAAGAGTTGGCGACTCAGTAAGTGAACTACCTCATTCCATTTCAGATGCGCTTCTGCGGCAATCTGGAATGCTCTTCATTCCGATATTAGGAAGCCACTGGATCTAAGCACTTTTAAATCACCCAGATTCACTGCTTTACGTGTTTATTTTGTTGTCCTTCCCCCGCACGTCCGATTAGCACGGTTGGCTACGTACGGTGCGAAAGAAGTTCAACACACAGGCACAGACACAGTGCGAGTCCTCACTTGGAAGGTGTGAGATGAGGTTGGCGATGAGTGCACTGAAGTGCATCCGCGCGTCGCGCACGGAATCCAAGTCCTTGTCATTCTCCACCTCCAGTAGCTGCCGGGTCTGATCCACGTACTCCAGCAGCGAGCTGCTCAGAGTGTGCGTGCTTGCCTCGAGACCACCACTACCCCTGTCCGGCGCACCAACCAATCAACATCATCATCATCATCGTGGCAAGGTGTTATCTGCCTCGCCTGGTAGACAGGAGGGCGTGGGTTCGATCCCGACCCTGACACATGTATATTTGGAGTTTGAACGTTTGTCTCCCTGTGGTTGCGTGGATTTTTCTTTTGAGTCCTCCGGTTTTTCCATCCACGTTTAGAAACATGCATTTAGATTATTTAGCTGCTATCAATTTCCACATGATAAGCCACTTCGTTGATCTATCATTTGTGGCCAGGTCATTTTTGAAACAGAGTGATATAGTTCAGTGGGCTTTACCAGTAAAATAAAAAAAAATGTTTCGTTTTAGTAGGTTTAGTTTCATTGTCATCGTCAAGATGCCTAGATTGGTCCCTGTCTGAGCATTTGAAAAGTTACCGATAATTGGCTCGGCATTTACCTGTGGCTGATAACCCCAGTGTCGGCAAGAAGCTCAAAGATTCGCACCAGCTGCACCCGCAGGATGTCTCGTTTCTTTTTCTTACGCACATTCTGTAAGGGAAAGGGCGACAATGAACGTAATGATATTCAATTCTGGATGGAAGGATTTGCAGAATCAGAAATTGTATTCATCATGGAGAAATTCGACGAGCTATGAAGCTCTTTTTCACAGATGTCCAGTTGAAGGTCAGAAAGTTACAACAACAACAAATGCACAGCTCATCATGCAAAAGATAGCGCTTTGCAGAAAGTCAAATTTCTGAAGGATAGACTTGACGCTTCAGAAAAAAGTGGAATTTACACAGCTGACCCAGTGCATTTCACTCGTCTGAGATGAGCATCATCCCACATTCACTGGTGCCTGAAGACGGTATTAATTCGCTTTGTTTAGAAGTGCAGTATGGCCTTATGCACTTTCATTAACCAAACAGTATTTCAAATCACCAAATATATAAGATCATCAAAACTGTTTTGCATAAATATATGTTTTGTATAGTAAATGGGTGTATTACATTTGCTATATGATGTGGGTTTGTTGTATTTTAGCATTACATTTTGTGATCGATATCTGAACTGAAGAATAAATATGAAAATTATACAGTTCAGTTTTAACAAAAAATGAAAATAAATAATTTACTAGATTTATGCACAACTGTATTTTGAAAAGGTTTTCAGGAGTCTTTGAAGGAACGTCACATTTTTCAACAAGAATGGACTGAACTTCTGAATAAAGGCAGTGATTGACAGCCTGATGGAGAATGGGATGTTAAAAGCTCCGAGTCTTGGTGTGAATTTCATAATGAATGGCATCAGTCCCAATCATGGCTCTACAGAGGTATTGTAGCCTGGATTTGAAAGCAAAGGAATTTATTAAATGCTCTTTAAGAAGCAGCTCTGTACATCACTGAAGCCGGGCCCTATTCTGCACACTGTAGATTGCAGATGCTCAATTAAAATTACGACACATTAATATTACAATTAAATGACTGTACTTATGTAATAAAAGGACTCGAACACTTCTTTCTGTCTTCGTGTCTTTATTCAGGTTCACGTCTTTACCCACACGGCACTCTGTTATAACTCCTGTATTTGTAGCCCCCGGCTATTCACTGCTATTATAGCTTCCTCACCCCTCTGACTCTCTGCTTCATCTACTGTAACCTCCTCCCTGCAGACTTGCTGCTACCCCTATGTGCAGACCCTCTGGCTGTCACTGTATGCAGACCCGCTGCCCACTCTCTCTGTGCAGCCCCGCTGCTGACTGCAGCCTCCTCGCTGCTTCGGGTCGGTCACCGCTGGCCAACGGTGCCGATCCTCGCTCCCCCCGTGTTCGTGGCGATCTCGCCACACCCCGCTTCGCCCTTCGTGGCCTTCCTCTGTTCCTGGTTCCCCGTCACTCCCCTTGCTCTTCCGGTTCCCCTCCTTCTATACTCAACCCCTCTCCCCCCCACGTGACCTAACTCCTCCCCCCCTGACGGCACCTCAGAAGGGCCGTTTACAACCGAATTACATCACCCTCCCCCCTAAAGAAAATCCAGCCGACCTCGGCTGAATTGCAACCTGAAAAGCAATGCGGGTGTAAAGGGCCAACACGCAAAAAGACACGAAGCATTGAAGAACATTATAACAATAACACAACACAACACAATCTAACGAAACGTGAGGGATTTCGAGCGAGTACGGGTAGCCGGGCCGTCCCGGACGGTCGGCGGCCCACCCGCCGAGCGGGAACGTGGAAGGGTTTTAGGGGCGACGGGCGCAAGTTCTTCCGTCGCCATTGGAGGCCCGCCACTGTCCCGCTCGCGTCCAGAAACATCCCGTACTCGCGTCCGCGGAGGGATAGGAAGAGCTGCAGGTCCCGTGGGTTCTGCGGCTCCGGTCGGCGTCCCACAAGCGGAAGGTCCTCCTCCCTGCGCTGTCACGGCCGGCTTGTCTGTGAAGGGTACGACAGGCGCTCTCGCAAGGTCAGCAGACACAGGCAAGGGCGAGTCGGCAGCAACAGACCCCGGCAAGGCAACTTGGGGAGATGACGCATCCGGCCGTGGGGCAATGTATGGCTTCAACCGGGACGTGTGCACGAACCAACGCCGTGCACCAACCTGAACACGCGCCGACTGTGGGTTGGGAACCTCAATGAGGCGGACCGGACCCTGCCAAGGTCGATGTAATTTAGGAGATGTACCTGGCCGCACCTGTGGGCAATGAAGCCAGGCCAGGTCCCCCTTTTTCCAGGGACACTCCCCCTTTGAACGTCGGGCACACCGCTCATTCCTGGCCTGAGCCTTGGCAGTAGCCATGCGGGCATTTTCCCTCGCCTCAGCGACACGCCGAACGTTGTCCTTAATATACTCAGGAAGAGGCTTAACAGGCCCCCTCGCACCGGTTCCCAACTGGTCATGAATCGGCGGCACGTTCTCACGGCCGTACATAAGGAAAAACGGCGAGTATCCAGTAGCCGCGTGCGGCGTCATGCGATACGCCGAAAGCACCCCAGGGATATGCAAATCCCAATCAGATTGGTTTTCCCCGACTGTATGGCACAGCATGGCGGACAGAGTCCGATTCAACCGTTCCACCATACCATCCGTTTGCGGGTGGTAGGGGGACGTCCGTATCTTTTTAGTTCCAAGAGCCGCACACACCTCCCCCAACAATTTAGACGAAAAGTTACGTCCCTGATCCGTAAGGAGCCTCTCCGGAGCCCCTTTGTCCATTACATACCCAAATAGAAAGGCGTCCGTGATAGACGCCGCTGACTGGTCAGGCAAGGGCCAGGCCATCGGCCAGCGAGAGAGGTACTCCACCCCCACCAGTAAATACTTATTCCCTTTAGCTGATGGCGGAAAGGGTCCCAAAATATCTAACGCCACTAACTCATTAACCCGAGATACTTTAATCGATTGTATCGGCGGAACATATGGATGTTTAGGCGGCTTACGGCGGGCACAATCGGGACACGCGCGAACGTGACCGACGACATCCGTCGTCATGCCGTGCCAATAATAGTCTCGTTGCAGCGTCAATAGGGTTTTCTGCACCCCCAGGTGTAAAAGTGTGTCACAGTGCAAAGATCTAATCAACTCATAGCGCAATGACGCAGGCACAACGAGACGCCAGTGTTCCTGTATCCCCTCCCTCCACATCAGTAACCCATCTCGGAGAGCAGTTTCCGAATTACCACCCGCACCGACTTCCTTACCCGCCTTCTCCGTTCGTTTCCGTAACGACACCAAAGAATTGTCCAACATTTGCTCCCGAACCCACACAGACCTTGGAAGACGCAAAATCCCGTCAGCCGGTCCCCCTTCAACCGGTCCCGGTGTAAGCGGAGGTTCGAGAACATCCACTGCCCGCGCGACAGGCTGAGGGGGGGGCTGAGCCGGTCCACACCTATGCGTCCCCGACGCACACGCACAAGGGGATTGTTGCGGCAACCTGGACAGTGCGTCCGCGTTAGCGTGACGCACACCCTTCCGATGGTGAATTTGGAAGGAGAATTCTTGCAACGTGTCCAGCCATCTCGCCAATTGTCCGGATGGCTGGTCCATCTTAAGAGCGTACTGCAAGGCCGCATGGTCCGTTCGGACAATAAACGACCGACCGTACAGATACGGTCGAAATTGGCGGAGAAAATACACAATAGCCAAAAGTTCCCTGCGAGTGACGCAGTAACGAGTTTCCGCGGGAGACAAAACCCGACTCCCGTACGCCACCACACGCTCAACACCACCTTTTGACTGGGACAACACCGCCCCAATCCCGGTGTCACTCGCATCAGTATCCAGAATGAAGGGATGTTCAAAATCCGGATAATCCAACGTCGGCGCAGTAGCCAGTAGGTCGCGCAGGCTCCGAAACGCCGCCTCCTCCGGCGGTCCCCACACAAATTTGTGCCCCTTCCCAGTAAGGAGATGCAAAGGCCTGGCGATAGTAGCGAAATTCGGAACAAACCTCCGGTAATATGAGGCGAACCCCAAAAACCGACGCACATCACCCACCGTGGCGGGGGTTGCCCAATCCCGGACACACGCAGTTTTCTCTGGATCCGTGGCCACCCCGTCCGCACTAACAATATGTCCCAAGTATCGAACGGAACGTTGCAGTAGATGACATTTCTTAGGCTTGAATTTCAAATTAGCAGAACGCATTCTGGCAAAAACGGCCTCCAACCGCAATAAATGCTCATCAAATGTGCGGCTGAAGACAATAATATCATCTAAATAAATGAGACATGTCTCCCACTGCAACCCCGTCAATACCAACTCCATCAATCTCTGAAAGGTGGCAGGGGCTGCATTCAACCCCATCGGCAGACAGTTAAATTGGAACAACCCCTGCGGCGTACGGAACGCTGTCTTTTCCCGCGAGGGCTCGTCAAGGGGAAGCTGCCAGAAGCCCGAAGAGAGATCTAGCGTTGAAAAAAACTTAGCCCCTGACAAGGCGTCGAGAGAATCGTCCATACGCGGCAGGGGATACGCATCTTCCACCGACACTTTATTTAACTTCCGAAAATCCACACAAAATCGTAATTTACCATCTTTCTTTTTAACTAACACGACAGGCGCACCCCACGGGCTATTAGACGGAGATATAATATCCGCTTTCAACATGTCTTCCACTGCCCCTCGAACGTGCTCACGCTCAGCCGGACTCATCCGACGCGAGTTCAAGCGGATAGGGGCCGCGTCCCCCGTTTCGATGTGATGAGAGAGCAGCGAGGTGCGTCCCAAGTCCAAATCGTCCGAGCTAAACACATCGGAATAGCTCGCTAATAATTTATGAATCGCACAACGCTGCTCAGCGGAAAGGGCCGAATTTTCCGCACATAATTCGGCGATCCAACGATCGTCCACCCCTCCGTCGTGTGAAACACCACCCACCAGCCCCCCGTCCGGAATGTCACTCTGAGCCGTAAACGCCGTAGTGGCGTGTGCCACAACGGTACCAGCCGGCACACACACGCTCTCAGAAGTCGCATTTAACACCTGCAAAAACGGGCGCTGATCCGGACGGACAATGGTTTGCGCCCCCACCAGTGCCAATCCGCCCGTAACAGCGGCGGACGGCGACAGCAAAATTCCACAAGCACTCTGCCGACCCGGAACCGGCTTCCGGTATCGTAGGGGAATGAGCATCTGCGAGCCAGGTGGAATATCAACTGAAACTTCCGATAACGCCTGCACCTGGGCAACCGGAGCCGGTCGCCCCCAGGTGGACTGTAAAAACGCCAATTTGCGGCCCCCTGGCAGTTCAATGCAATTTTCATTGATTCTAATTAAAATGGGCATCTTAGCCAAAAAATCCGTGCCCAACAAGCAAGGAACCGCCAGGGACCTCGAAATTAACACAACGCCCGAGGCCGAGACCCCCCCGATAGAAATATTAGCGTCCACCTGTCCCACGATGCCCATACTACCCCCGTTCGCAGCGATGCAGGAAGCGTAAGCCGGCCTCACGGCCCCCGGTGGGATGTTCAAAAGATGGAATATGACATCCGAAATAATGGTCGCGGACGCCCCGGAATCCACCAAAATACGCACGTCCACCCCTTGGATCGACCCCGGTACAGTGGACGAACCTGTAGCGGCCGCGACAACCCGCCGAGCCAACTTACGCCACTGCGTTATCGAGCGACAAGGCGCAGATACTGGCCTCCCATATTTTAGAACATCCGCGTCGCACAACAACGGCGATGAGTGAGGTGTCAGGCCTTGCCGGGTGTCTGGTGCGCACCGACTTGCCTGTGCCGGAGGGTCTTTCTTTGGGACGTCCGCGATCGAGGCCTCCTGCTGGGGCGGCCCCGGAACCCGGGCCCAGCAGTCCCTGGCATAGTGGCCCCGACGGCCGCAGCGGAAACAGTCGACGTCGGGTCGGCGCGCAGCAGGCACCCCGTCCCGACGTGGCCGCGCCGGTGGTGGAGCCCGCGGCCCCGGCTCGCTTCGAGCCGGCCACGGAGTGGAGGCGGCCGACAGCTCCTTTGGGCCGGTCGCATCCGGCACGTACACGGCCTTTGTAGGGTCCCACCCTACGGCCCCCCCATCGACGACAGGACCGCCCGTCCACGCCGTGACTTGTTTCCAGCGGCGGAGATTGAACTGGGCGTCCAAACACTTAGCCGCGGTCCGGGACGTGAGTTTCTCGTGACCGCAAGCCGGCATAGGGATGCCCAGATCCCGGGATAACTCCAACATCTTCCCCAAGATGAGAGGTTCCAGCAGGTCAGGCTCCGTCTCCGGGTAAGCGGCCATCGCGAGTTCCAGCACGGCGCCCCTGTACGCTACAGGCGACTCCTCCGGTGCGCGTTGCCGCTGCACGAAGCGGCGATGGGCATCATCCGGTGGCTCGTACGCGTCCGCCATTTCGTCGAACACTCCACGCAATGTTTTCTTCTTCGCAGCTTTTATAGAGCGAAAAAAACGAACAGACTCATCGTCAAGGAGAGTCGGAAGCACCTCCAGCGCCTCGGCGTCCGTCCACCTTGCCGTTCGTACCGCCGCCAAAAATCGACAAGCGAACGCACTCCAATCGCCCCCGATGGAGAACTCCTTAACAGTTGTAAGGTGACGACTGCGGCTCCTTGGCCTGCTTCCGTCCGTCACCGACTCTTCCGGCGGCAAGTTCAGCAAGGCGTCGCAACGCGGTGTCGCCAAGATGGCGGACGATCTTCGTGGCGGCCCCAAGATGGCGGCTTCCCGCCTTCCGTGGTGCGCCACGCCCAAGATGGCGTCTTCACGCCGCGTGGTCGATGGCGGCGCCATCGAAGACGACCCGGGCTCCTGCCGATCACCACCATCACCTTCCGACGCCGCCCTTGGCGTGACAAGGTCACACAACTCCGTGATGACGGTTTTTAGGGTCGCCAGTTGCTCCGCCATCCGGGTCCATCTTAAATCTTCGTCCTTCAACGCAGATGGGTCGGGCGCAGCGGCAACCTCCTCCACACCCGGGCCCTCACGGATCTCTCCTTCCGCCGAAGTGAAGCCGACCTCAGGAGGAAGATCGTCGTCGTCCGATGATGAAGCCGACGCCGGAGATGGGATATTCTTCTTCCTCAGTTGTTTCGCCATGCCGTTTCACTTCTGACTCCAGTGTAATAAAAGGACTCGAACACTTCTTTCTGTCTTCGTGTCTTTATTCAGGTTCACGTCTTTACCCACACGGCACTCTGTTATAACTCCTGTATTTGTAGCCCCCGGCTATTCACTGCTATTATAGCTTCCTCACCCCTCTGACTCTCTGCTTCATCTACTGTAACCTCCTCCCTGCAGACTTGCTGCTACCCCTATGTGCAGACCCTCTGGCTGTCACTGTATGCAGACCCGCTGCCCACTCTCTCTGTGCAGCCCCGCTGCTGACTGCAGCCTCCTCGCTGCTTCGGGTCGGTCACCGCTGGCCAACGGTGCCGATCCTCGCTCCCCCCGTGTTCGTGGCGATCTCGCCACACCCCGCTTCGCCCTTCGTGGCCTTCCTCTGTTCCTGGTTCCCCGTCACTCCCCTTGCTCTTCCGGTTCCCCTCCTTCTATACTCAACCCCTCTCCCCCCCACGTGACCTAACTCCTCCCCCCCTGACGGCACCTCAGAAGGGCCGTTTACAACCGCATTACACTTATTTTTCCCATACGTTCAAATGAGCATCATGTAGTGGCACTATCCGCTGGTAATCCTGAGCCAGTGGTGGAAATTCCACATGAATATGGCAGGGACCATTATATCCATCGGACAATGTTGTTAACTTCTCACTGTGGTGCTTGTTTACCGACCCAGGAGAGATAATGGTCTAAGTTAACTTGTGGTGAGGTCTAAACTCACGATGAGAGAAAGAGGAGCCTTTTTGTTACATTATAAGGTTGCACTCGTAACACGTAAGGTGCTTGCCGCAAATGAACCACAATACATTGCTGATCTCGTTTAGGAGCATAAGTAGCCATCACGCAAACTCCGGTCATCCTCGCAGCGGCTTTTGGGGAACCATCACACAAAGACGGCCACTGCATCGCGCGCTTTCAGATGCATTTCTGCGGCTTGAAAGATATTTCTGCTGATATTAGGAAGCCACTGGAGCTATGCACCTTTAAATCTATGTTGAAAACTCATTGATTTAGAACTGCTTTGTGTTTAGTTTATTGTCCTTGACACATGCTTTAGATTAGCATGGTTGGCTATGTATGGTGCGAAAGAAGTTCAACATACAACATGATTTGTAAGCAGACGTTTTGAGTCAAAGGGGAGTCACGTTACCTCTTGCTTCTTATCCAGGACCTCTTTTATTATCGGGTTCAGCTCCTCCATCAGTTCACTGCAAGACAGAGCAACCATTAGGTTCCAACATGGCATGCAAGGGGGTCGCGTGGCCAACACCAAGCCACTTCACCTTTGTCTGCCAAGTGCCACTGTGTATACACTGTACTGGGTTCTCATTTAAAGCTTGGTAAACTCATGGTAATGCCCAGGACAGACACATAATACCACATGCCATGGATTTAATCTTTGAATGGGAATTGAACCCAGCTCACATCGATCATAATGAGAGCACAAACCACTGTGCCACTGTCCCCCATATGTAAAGAAGACACATTCCTGTATAGACATGCAGACTGTTGGGCAAGTGCTTTTCACGACCACCTATTAATAAGGCCAGCATGGCACACGACGGGGTAGGTTGCCAGTACCATGTCCAGCTGCCTTTATCTCCCAAGTGGCGATGTTTACACACTGCATCAGGTACTCATTTTGAAGCCGAGTTGACCGAGGAGAGGCCCAGGACCGGTTCAGATAGTCACCACTGGTGTTGACCATGAGAGAGAATCCAACTCGGGTGGCTGGGTTTGTAGAGCAGTGCATTAAATACTCCACCCCTAAGATGCACGCATGCACGCATTCACACCGATCTAGGCAGTGCTTACCGGAAGGCGCCCGAGTTGGTGCACCCAAGACCCAGCACCAAGCACTCTGTGAGCTCCAGACTCTCACAGCGCATGAGCGGCACCACCAAGTGGAAGAGGGCAGCCGGGGATGAGCCCCCCACACTCTGCTCACACGCAGCAAAGGCAGGGGCAGGGCGCACATGGCACTTGTGTCAGATAGGCTACCAGCGACGAGCCTCATGGCTATTCATCCAAATCGGTTTTCATTTCTGAAAATCAGCTGCCAATGTTATATGACAGCTATTTGTGAGCAAAAGAGAAACATTATTAACATCACAAATGAGACAGTATAGATGAGCCCGGAAATAATAATTGTATGAGAACACAACTTCTAATCACAAGAATTCACACCACCAAGTGTATAAACAAGTTGTATAATTCAGCGAGGTGGCAGCGGGGTTGAGGTGTTTTCCTCACAGGGGGAAGGATATGAGTTCAAACCGTGGGCCAATAAAAACGTTGAGGAAAGTCAACAGTGGCCACTGTACAGAGAACCTGGCATCTGCCATGAGAATGAGGAATGTTTTCGACTATCTCTGGGCTACCGACGAATATACGCGCCACCCCGTCGCGC